TCACATTACATCATACAAATACCATAGAATGTATCAATGGCTGAAAACGGTCGAAGTCAATGCAAGCACATTACGATATGATTGTGGATTTTATTATTTGGTTTGCAACATAATATTTTACTTCATATTCGAGAAAGAGAATGCGACTGAGAAAGAGAGAGAAATAAGTTATGGAACAATCAAGCCATACACATTCCAAATCATATGGGATTGAAAGTGTAATGCAGACAGCATAAACGATGGCATAGGTGTATGCACTATGCAGCGGTCATAAAATTAAACCAAAGAGGAGCTAACGAGAGATAGAGAGAGAGAGAGCGGTAAAGGGAGTTAGTGGAACAAATTGAGAATGAAAAAGCAACAAAATGGTGAGAATGTAAAAGAGATAGAAAGAGAAACGCCATGCAACACAAATGGAGCAGAACAGACCACGAGTCGAGAGCAAACGAGATTGCACGAAAAAAACCGTAAATATTCAAATGCCGTATCCGAAAACTAAATTTTCGTTCATAGCATTTTGCTGCGAACATTTTTGTTTATGCATTGTATAATGGACATAGTTTGAACGAAACCATGATCAACATTTACACACTATTATCGAGCTACCTTTTTTCCTCATTTTGTTCGTTTGCTCTCGTTTTCTCTCACCGTACTACATTTTTGCTAGTATTTTTTGGTGTACATTAGTTGCACACAGCAACTAGAGTTGAATGAATTTCGCTGAGCTTTTCTTCAGTTTTTCACCATTCTGAAAATTGCTATAAAAATCACTTACTATTGCGAATGTAACAAGCGAGGATTAAAAGCATGTGCATTGTGCATACACGTGTATATATGAATAAATGTAATGTATATTTTCAACGGTAATATAGAAATAACCTACATACGACTGAAATTTGTTTCATTTTTTTTTTTTCTCCACTGTGTCTCACTTTGTCTCTCATTCGGTTCAACTGTTTCAAAATAGTTCGGTTGCTGAAAACTGAAGGCAAGCAGCATTGAAAAGTGTACAAGAAAAGCTGGCCAAAGCTTGTTGCAATAAAACCGTACAACAAAATAATAATAATCGTTTTGCAATTCGAAAAGGCTGAAGTATGTTTTCAACGTTTTTTCATCGTTATTTTAATGACATGGTGTAGCCACGACACAAATGGAAAATTCTTCCATCTCTGTCAGTTGAAACACTCTTATTCGCTGCTCTCTGCTATCATACCGACACAGGCAGCACATGGCACCACTGTGCACAATATGCACGAGCAATTTCAGGTTTGCTGGATTTTTGTGCTCTTGCATTGCAATACGCATTCGAATGTAAAACGCAAGCATCGAAATTAAAAATACCACACCTGTAAAATGCAGCTGAAAATGCATGTTATTCCCCCATATTTTTTTTTCTCTCATATCCACTTTGAATACGATTTGTTTATCTGGTCTATTTCATTGTGCTACATTCTATTCTCTCGACTTTTTTTTCTTGTCGAAATTCACATTACTGTTTTTCGGTCACTCAATTTCAAACCATTTTCAATTATATCATGTGAATGAGAAAGTATGCGCTCGGCTTATTTTGTTTCGATAGTATCTTTTCTTTTTATCGATCGTTTTTCATTTTCGATAAACTTTAACATGTGTGAGCGCCACCAATACCAATGTTTGCAAACTTTGTTATCTATAAACTACTAATTTATTGACATATTTAAGTGCGATCGAAACAAATAAGTAAACACCAATAAATCGAAAAGTGCATTTACTGAGTTATAGTGTACTACGATATTGGCAAGACATTTTTGTATGCAGACACAATATTAAAGTGAAGGCAACATTTTGTTGAGACACCCATGAACTTTTAATGTGTATGTTTGCACATGATTTAGTTGGCCCTTTTAACGGTGACCGAAACAATGGCCAAGTTGATATATTATATAGCCAATGGGAATACGTTCTAGCTATATGCACATTGCACACGCCATGAATACACAATGCCCCGAACTACCGGTGAAATCGAGTGCAACACAAATTAGTTTATTTTTGCACATTACTGCCTTGAAGCCGTTAGCACCATCGAATTTTGAAGGAGTGAGTCCGGTGGTACGTATTTAATTGATAGCAATCGCCTTGATTTGGATACATATGTGCGTCACACAATCTTGAGAGAAAAAATAGAAGAAATATGTTACATGTATCGTATAAAATTAACTTTTTTATTAACTATTGTCAATAACATAGAAATAAGCAATATTTTGAAATTATAGTCGACACTTGTTAAATCGAAGTTCGATAATTCGAAGAGATCAATTTTCCCATAGCTTCGAATTCAACTTTAATTTTCATAATATATACCATGCGGTAATTTCACTTAAAAGCTATTAGACTGATATGAATAAAGTCGATCGATACAATAAATCCATTCGATTACCTCACACATTTTTTTTCATGTTTTCTTTAACTGTACTGCTTTCTTCATGCAAAAATATCTCGCGAATACTTTTCTTTTTTCCGTAAATTTTTAACGCGGTCAAAATTAATAGCAGAGTATTTATACTACATAAAATCGCCAGTGGCAGATAGTAAAATATAGCAGTAATTTTCCGTTACTTTAGGTTTAGTGTACATTAATAATCTTTAAATGATCACTTTCTAATCATGTCATCACCTCCCTCCCACTGGGACCATCAAGGGAGACTTATACTAAAATTAAAATTAAGCGTAGGATGATTTTGTGAAAGTGAAAGGCTTCAAATTAAGCGAAGGTTAAGTGTACTCACTCTTCAGATGAGGCCGAATCACCCAATTTCATAGTAATATCAAATATGAAGACGAAATTGACGAATTGTAACCTACACTTAATGTACATTTTTTACATGAATACCAAGATACGTTATACAAAATGTTGGATTAAGAAAATCGTTACCCCGAGAAAAATTATGATTGTGCCCAACAAAGGGGTCCATTTTCTGAAAAAAATTGCAGGTATACACATTCAAAACAAACTTACCTAAACTTTCTCTGCACTTAATAAAAGCCATTTGTTTTGAAAAAAAATTATGAGTACAGAGCCGAATTCCTGGTGAATAATCAGAATATTTTCAGATTTAAGTACGTATAAATAGAATATTGCGTCACATTGAGACACTCATTGAGTTTTGGAAGTGTTTTGTGCTTATCTTTGAAAAAAAAAAAAAACATTTATCGTCTTATAAAATGAGTTTTAATGTCGTTTCCTTTGTGGGCGACTGACTTCTGTTTTAAAAATTAAATTTCATAACGTGCATAATGTTTTGAAGAAGTTTTATGCGCAAAATAGTATGTTGAACGACTATATAAGTAATATTTGTAGTTGTATGCTTGTTCGCAGTATTATAGATTGAATTGTCTTGGCATACAGACCTTCATGAAACTCTAGATGAAAGTTCATAATCAAGTCAAACAAAAATCTTTTTATGTACGCACATTATGCGCTATTTAATACACCGTTGTACATTAGTCAACGTACAATAGTTTATTTGATATCTGTATAAATTTCTAAATAAAATGCCAGGATGAATTTAACTATTGCGGCATATGGTGGCGGCATGACCCATTACCGCTTCTCTTGCCATTACCTGAATACACACTAGCTAACTTTTTGATACTACGCACTACTTTCTAAAATATAATAGTTAATGTTCGTTAGAATGATCGGTTATCTTTCACTCAAATAAAGATAGTAGAAGCGGTCTTTATAAGAAAAATTGGCTTATGCTATAAAATGTACACTGATATCAAATGAACAATAAAAGTTACTTTATTGTGACAAAAACTGTCAAAATATGGATTCAACTTACAATTGAAAAGATTCTATGCTATAAAATGAAAATAAAAGAACATGTACCCTAACCAGTACTTACGGGTTACACATATGCTTGTTTTGGTCATTTTTTTCTCAAAGTAATAATTGCAAACACGTTTAAAAAAAATAATTGCGACTCAGAGAATTCAGAAATATCAAAAAGGTTATTTGCTGAGCCGGGAAATATTCTCTCACGCACGTAGTTTTGGTTTATAAATTTATATCTCTGTTGCATGGTTTTATTCTAAAATGTTTGTTCTCTTCATTTTTTCTTTCCCACTCTCGTCGATATTCTTCCAATGCTGTTTTAAAAGCGCTTTTCAATCAATAAGGATTTTATTTTTTTCCAAAAGCAGTACCTGTTTTTTTTTTCTCTTTTAATGAACACAAGTCATTTTTTTTTGCATAATTATCGGTACAATAAGGCTTCCTTCTATGCGTGATGAAATTGAAAGAAGTTCACTTTATTAGTGATAAAGTAAGCTTTTTCCATCGTACATGTCATATGTTATTTTCTTGTTTCTCGTAGCGCCCGTACCTTCAGGCATGAGCACAGAGGCGGTAAGTAAGCTCAGATTACTTTGAATAGTCCAAACTAACCCTCTTCTTAGTCATTTTGGTCCTGTGTGAGCGGTATATTTATTTTTTAAATAAATCTGAAAGAAAATTCAACTACTATGCCAAATTAAAAATGCGCACCGAAAAATGTAAAAGCAAGCAAATCCTCTTAAGTACTGAAAATGCTATTATTTCGGATTCTAATCAGATTTATTTCCAATTTGTAATTCACATTCATACAGCGTATTCTGTTTTCACTTTTATTTATTTATTGGTGATTCGCTGAATCGATGCAATTTTTTTTTTTCGTCGCTCTTTCGAATGACAGTTTTTTTCTCACGTGCCCTTTTTTGCTGGCAACGAACAGTGTGTGCGTTTTTGAACCATTCAATTGTCATATGTGAAAGTGTGATACATAAATTGTTCGCAGAGAGTGTCACATGTTTTAGCCGGAACAAGAGATGTGCAGCAACCAATCGAATCAATGTAGACCAAAATAATGTGGCATTTATATGGACAATTTGCAGAATGCGTGCATGAAATATTCGCCACGAATTCTCGATATGACACAAAGTATTAATGGATGAAATAATTTATTTATCAGTTGGTTGGATATTAATATGACACATGTATTACATGTATTTGATTTCGTTCAGCATTTTTTGGCCAACATTTTTTTGTTGTTGTTGTTGATCTCGGTATTTTTGTTATCGGCATATTTTATATAGAGTATAATATGTTGGTATGTGTGCGTATTCGTGCACCAAAAATCTGGTGCAGTAGTGCATTTTTATTTTCATTTGCGTAATATTTTATTTATTTGTGTGTGTGTGTGATTTTCTCTTCTTTTTTTTTTTTGTATTTCATTCCGGTCATCTCCGTTTTTCACGCTTTCCGATTCGGTTTACATCATATTGCTTACACACAATATTATTATTTCGGTCGGGTGTTTTATTCGGTCTCCAGGGTTACAATTTTTATTTTTGTTGTTGTATTATTTTTTCTCGACCGTTTTTCCTTGTGCCAATGGTGGTGCGCACGATAGCTCGATTGTAATAAATTAATTACAATTTGACATAACTTTTATTGGGCACACGATTTAATCTCGGTTTAATATTAAGCACACACCAAGCAGAATCCAGTGGCTTTCATGTTCAATATTTCGTAAATATGCCTTGAAAATGAGTCCATCTTCATTGTTCTCATCTCCATTGCGTTGTGATGTTGCGTAGACGGGTGTTACAAGCGAATTCTAAAATACATATATTAGAGAGAGAAAAGAATGATTGTAAAAAAATGTAGAAGAAATTCCTTGAAAATGATTAATTGAACGAAAATTATGAGACATGTATACATGTAGGGTCACCAGTTTTATTGTATCCGCAGTTTTGGTATATGGTTGAAACTAAAATTATGTATATAAGCGGGGGCAACGAGCCAAAATAAAAGAAAATTATACCGGAAAAAGAATGTGGAATTAAAGTGGATTGCCGAAATCCCATCAAAACAACACTAATTCGACATGATATTCGCCTAAGTGGTCAAGATCGTAACATCGTATATCATATTTGGGGATTGAATTTAATGCGATATATTTCTTGACTCACTAAATTCACTAACATGATGTTGATTTTACTTAAACGCTTAAAGAAAATGTTCAGCAATTCAATGATATGCTTGATTGTGCAAAGCGGTCATATGGCGGCCACAACGGCTGTCGCTCTATTTTGTACAATGTACCTAAAAACAAATCAAAACGAACGAACGAATGAATGAGTATGAATCATGAATACACCTCGACCGTTTGTTTGTCCGATTAACTGGACCATTTCTGCTACAAATAAAGCTCACACAGATTATGTTTTATTTATGCGTTCAGCTTTTCCACACACTGCTGTGCTTGCATGACCAAGATGTCATTTTCCATTGATTTTGTGTGAACACTTGTGTTCGTGTGTGTTTGTGTGTATCGAGATTGAGATATATATAGAGAGAGAGAGAGAGAGAGAGAGAGAAGCGATAAAATGCGTAATGTAGATGTATAGATGACATGCCGAGTTAGTATTTGGTTTTCGACAATCTCTTGGCTTGAAATTAACCGTAAAATCAACAATTGCACGAATGTGCTGGTATGTGTGACGATTGTCGAAATGTTACACAATTTTCCCGTAACAATTCCCTTTAGCTAATTGGCAAACTATTTACCAAGACTGTGTCATTAAGGTGTCTAAGTGGTTGGCAATGCGACAAATGACCACTCGGAATACGTTTGTGTCACCACCAAAAGGATGGAGGGAGTGGAAATAGTGATTGATCGAATTCTGTGCACAGAGTCATGTGACAGAACAACACTTCAATGGAAAAGAATTTTGACTGTTATTGGTTTTTATTGCATTTTCGTTTGTCGTTCATTTTCGAATTTTCAAATTGATAATTAAAATCACATCCTTGTACGTACTTGCGTTTGTAACTTATGCTTTTCCATTGGTATAATACGTAAAATCGGTAATGGCTCCAGCAGGTTGTTCGATTGAACTAAAGCGTTATGCTCAATGCTCCATCCTGCACCTTCCATAAACAATCCACTGATGTAGCAGCCCTTCTCGCCATTATAACCATTGATATGAACGTGACCATACAAATTTGCGTGTGTGCGAGCGTGCGTACGTATAGTTCCGAAATCCAGATCAATTTCAATTTGAGTTGAATGGCCAGAGGGTAAAAGTGCAAAAAATCAAATCGAAAAATTACTCATATCGAAATGCATACAAACAATTCGGGCGATTGTATATTTGAACTTTGATTGGCTTGCCAACCACATATGTCTACATTGCCTATATATTCAACCGCATTATATTTTCAACATACCGAATCGGGTTGTTCTTCCACATCATTCGCATCTAAATATGCTGTAACCGAGGTAAAAATCGTTGTATTTTCAATTGGCCAAATATTTTTACGGCAATCCATCTAGAACGAGTTATCAAATTGGTAATTGAATAAAGGTGATGAATCAAACAACAATCAAAACGATAATACACAATGACGAAATTTTAATTGCAAATTGAGTTTCTTTATTGTTGTTGTTATTTAAATTACAAAAATTAACCAAAAATAAATCGAATTCAAGCTAATTTTCAATGAATCAAACTTCAAATGTTCCTTGTACTATTTCCTCTATCTCGGTAGCGTTTCTTTTTTTTCTCGTGAAACACGAAGCGTTTTGTTAAACAAACCGCATTCAAAGCAATTCTAACAACAAGAACTAAGTGTTGTGCGTGGTACCACATAAATCTAAAGATTTTGTGCAAAATAAAATGCAAAATTTCACCTGAACTATGGCTCTCAAAAAGCTTTTAGGGGCATGTAAACCAGATAACCACATAACGGTGAATTGACCAGAAACCGACCAATATTTATACTGTTGAGCACGATGCTAATGTTTTGTTGTTGTTGTTGTTGGTTTTTTGTTCATCATTTGTTGTCAAAGTTTACATGAATTTGAACGTGCGTTCGATAACGATGACGATGGAAATGAGTCGATGGGTGTGTGTATATTTATTTTTGCATTCGATAACGACGTTTCACCACGACGTGCATCAAAGATTCGTTCATTCCGGAAATTTATTGTCCATGTTCATAGCGTGGATGAACCACAAATATGCAAGCCAATTTTTGGTTGTTGTTTTTTTTGCACAAATGAGTTTGAGGTGGGTAGGCATGTCGGTTGTTTGTTCGCATTGATTACAATTACAGGTTCGTTGTTGTTCATTGTTGTCATTTCCAACATATTCGATTTTCATCAAAGATACGTTGTTGTTTTTGTTGTTGAAAAAAGTTGATTTTTAGTGAATTGGCGTTATATTGCGGACGGAAAACCATACAAATAAATACGTGAAAAGTTCATAGTACATCGTGCACGCATCAACGAATTCGAAACCGATAGGGGTAATGGGGGCAAAATGATACACGGTCCAAACTAATATATATCGAAAATTTAAAAGACCGTAAAATGTCAAACCATTTTTATATCAAAGTCCGCCGTCAACAGACACACACTTGGCAAGACACACTCAATACGTCAGTTCAACAAGAGTCGTCGTAGAGTCAAGTTTGTTTTTTCGGCACATACCGATACGCAGCCTGCAAATTCTCATATAAAGTTTGTAACCAAAAACACTGACGCTTCTCTTATGCTTATTCCGAGTTCTAAGCGGAATTTATGACAATATGGCTGCCACGGTTTGTCACAATCGTAATATACTGATTAAAGGAATAGCTTTTGATACTACAAAAAATTAAAAAAATAGATTTTTTTCAATTTTTAAAGAAAAAAATATTTTTTTCAAACAAAAAATAATATTTTGTTCACAATATGTTAAAATATTAAATAAGCTTCAAATTGAAAAATAAAGTCGTTAACATAATCTTTCTTTTGTGTCACAATTGATCACAATAATAACAAATCCATTTAAAAAGTCTAAGAGGTACCAAAAAATTCTTTAGTAAAGTAAAAATGAATAAATTTTAAAATGTTTTGGGAGAAACCGTCACTGTTTCCGACCAATAGTTTTGATGCGCAGGGACCAACGGCTATACTTGCCTGCCGAAGCAAGCGTCGAAGATTCAAATATCTCCCGTAAATGTATTTAAAATAAAAACACATGTACATAGAGAGAATCGAACCACCGACTCCCGGCATCATGGCATCTCGAGACTGTATCCAGACTGACTCAGCCATGTTGTCGGTTACGCTAAAATAAAATAATAAGAAAAAAAATCGTGTAAAAATGTTACAATATCGAGGTATCACTTTAGCCCCAAATGTATTACTTCAAACTTTTAGCTCGTGACGTAAACCGCCGCAACAATAAATAAATCTAATGATGCAGAAAGTTGGTGTTTTTAGTCCTCTTTCAAACGGTATTCAAAGTTTTCCGATATCTTTTCATTTGGCTAAAATATTCTCAATCGAAAAAAGTGTATCACTTTGCCCCCCACCTCCCCTATACGATACACGATATATACAGAACGAGAAAATGGATAAGAGAGCGCTTGTAAGCCGCACAATTTACCTGCAAATGATTTAACCATGGAGCTAAAATCATACAAGTTTTTGGTGCTAATTTCCTCCAATTGTCTGGCAATCGTTGATTCAATAAAGCGTCTGCTATCTCATCCAGTGTTGCATCCATAGCCAATTTTCCAGCATTTGCCTATTGCCAAAGTTTTAATTGGATAATCAAATTCGAATTCACATACATATACATACATACACGAATGCATATTTAATACAATCTAGGGGCTGACATCCAATGCTATCGAAATGCATTTTACAAAATAGATTGCACAAAAATAACAACAAAACTAACAAGTGCTCATAGTTTGTATTATAGAAATAATAATTATCATTACTTAATGATATAAGTGTAAATCAATGTAAATATTGGACGCCAGCTCATTCATTTTCATTGAAATGTTTATGTGTGTTAGCATTTCATTTACTTGATCTAACGGAAAAGTTTTGTTAGTCGGTTTAGCGAGTAAAAAATAGACAGAGAGTAGAAAGGAGGGAACCAAAAAAAACTAGATAAGTGCATGGAGCATTAATGAAGTTCCACATCAATTGAAGAACATAAATAAAACACTTATGGGTGCTAATCGGTGTTGAAATTAACAAAGATCAAATTGGTTAAATGAAGTAGCATGACACGGTGGAAATGTTTGACGACTAAACAGAATCAATGCGCATCAATCACTTTCAAATCTTCACTAAGGAAAAGTACATAAAACATAAAAACCACACAATATACTTCGGTTGCAATATTAAATGTGATTTTACATCGTCGCTGCGCACACCGTATACTGTTAAATTTCTTATTCCACACTCCGTCAAAATTGCTAAATTCCATCATGTGCCAATTATTTCTTTTAATTATCCAATGGATAACATACGCTGACAAAAATTTAATTTCAAAAATGTTTTTCAAAAAAAAAAAAAAAACTGCACATACACACATTATACCTAATTACGTCGTATGGATTATGAAAGTCGAATGCGAGAACACGATAAATTGTGAACGTGCTGGTATTTTGTGTACACTCTACACATTCATCCAAATATGCTTGCCAATTCTTGTACACTGTTTATGTGAGAAAATGAGAGAGTTTTTATTTTTAATTTGATCATTTATAATGAACTTTTGCCATCGACTCTCTCTATCTCTCACACACTGTACATCATAATGTTTTGCTTGTACGTTTCAGAAGCAAAATGAAATGTTCAGGCCAAATTTGGAGTGTATTCACATTAAATGTGAGATATATTTACATTTTACCCATAAACTAGGGTTAGGCCAATGAACATATTTGTAACCAGTCTAGTCACGCATCGAGAAAATTGCGGTAGCGCGAGTTTGATGCAACTATGAATGAATTAATTGAAAATTGGTCACAACACTGATATAAAATTAAAATGTGTAACGTAACCCATTCGCAAACAATTGAACTTATAAAATTGCTGGTAACCATATATAGATAGATAGTACAATCATTTGCCATAGAAACAGTTGTATACTGAATAAGTTTCTTGTTCGCGCATCGACTTCACCATAAAACCACTAAGATCGTAAATACTAAACTTATTTACTTGTATACTCATACTTTTCGTAAAAGTTTTAAAGTTTTTTCGATGCGTTCAACAAGTTCATTGTATAGCTGTAGCTCCTGTAATAAAACCACACCCGTGGGACATAATTTCATTTGAAGTGTTTCTTTAACTCGCCAAATTTCGAATGTTTTTGGCAATTTTTCAAGTATATCCAATGCTGTTCTATCAATGATGTTGTCACGGCTTATGTCACCACATAAATCATCTGTTTCCGTGCCGTTCCGTTCCATAGTCACCGTACAAATGTTGTCGTTGTCGCCGTCGTCAATGTTATTTGTATGGCGTTGATTTTGAATTCATCGTATTGACAAAATTCAAAGAAATCAACGATCGCATCAGATGAATGTACGTCGAATTAGTGTTATCGTTGTTGTTGTTGTTGTTGTTGTTGTGTGTGTTTTTTCATTGGTTGTTTGTTCAAAATTCACCATTCAATCCAGCAGAACGATCATTAGCAATTGTTGCAAGTTGTGGCATTCAATGCAGACAAATTAAATGTAGACAGCGTTGTAGATACAGTGGAAAAAAAGAGAAAATTTGTTCACAAGTAAATTTAAGTTTTTGTTGGCTAAAAAAAATCAAACGAGATTTCAGCTTGAGATTTCTCTGTTTGTGCTGTTTTTGGTGTGACAGTTTTTACTTTGTTGGGACAACAAGAATGAACAGAAGAGCGAAAAAACCATGTACAAAATAACAAGAAATCGGAATAAATATTTTATATTTGTCCTCGTTAGTTTTCGATGTCAGTTTTTTTCGCATTTAGTTTAGCTTCGGTGATATTTAATCGGAAGAAATCCAATAAATAATGATTGCTTAATGTTTCATAAAAAAAAATTCCAATATATAAAACGACATATAAGCATTGCCAGTCATACATACACATACATACGTATCACTACATAGATTTGATAACAATAATTTAATACATTGAATGCGATTCGATTTTATCGAATTGAATATGAATGTGTCTTGGGTTTGGCTTGGTTTACGGAATGCATACATTTTTTTTTCTCTTTTTCAAAAAATGTACTTAATCAATGGATAAACACTCGAGCGATTGCATGAAAAATGTGAACAAAAAAAAAGAGAATGTTTTACCAATGTTATCAGACACCGGACAATGCAGCGAAAGAGTATGAAAACGAGAAAAATTGCTTTCAAACGTAACACCAAAATGCCACACATCATTTTTCCATTGTAAACGAATGTGGCGTATTCCTCGAACGACGAGACCGCTGTATTCAATGTGTACAATGGCAAAAGGCGCGCGCGTGTGCTTGTATTTTAATAAAATGTTTCCCAAGATTTTCGTCCGGCACACTAAACTTCGATGATTTGAATTATGATCGAATTTACGCAGTTAAGCTTCAAGACAGTCGATATACCCAGTGAATCAGTCTTCTTACAGTTCTTACACATACAAACTAAAATCATTGTGTGGTGGATTTTTTATGTGAATGTGTGTATTATATGCGAACGAATATGCGGAGTATATTCTGTTCGACAGCAAAAGCATAAATACAATTGTACATGACAAATGTATTTATAAATCTTTTCGGTGGCATTTTGTCAAGCAAAAAAAAATTCGATTCGGATGAAATAAGACGTAGGGAAAATTCCTAAGAAATACTATAAATGATTGCTTCAAATTTGTTACTTGATATTTGTCTGCCACGCTTTTTTTACGTATGTATGTGCTGCTTCGATATCGTTTTTTTTTAGTTTAATTTTTTCCCTTCTATTTAAATCATAAATTTAGCGCCGTCTGATTTCCACTTTTTTCCTTCAGTTTTTTTTTTTGTCGGATAGCTTTTTTCCACTTTGTTTTTAAATCAAAACTCCATCGAATTGAAATCGGAAAAGGCAGGCGAAAAAAAATTACCAGAAAAAGAAAAAGAAAATGAAGGAACAAAAGAAATTCACCAGAATCGAAAATAAAAATGAAGAGTTTTGTGTGTGTGTGAGAGAGAGAGCAAGAAAGAGCGAATGTGGTTTCACTTTGAAGTTTTGCTCTTACTCAAACTTTGGCCAAATGATATATTGGCGATTGCCGAAATAATTGATAGGATGGAAACGAATATTCGTTATTTCTTTTTGCGGTAAAGTGAATTAATGTGTTGAAGTTTTTGTTTTCCTTTCTCACTCCGTTTTCATGGCGATCTTATCGGACTGTCGGTTTGTTTTCCTTGTGGCCATGTATGTCTGAAGAGAGCGAGCAAGCACATTATACACGAAGAAATGGGCAAAATCTATTGGTAAATAGTATTCACTAAATACGAAATATATTTCACAATAGAGTGTTTGCTGTTGTCGCAAAATGTCCTGCACAGATATAGATCGTAAAACTACAACTGCACATACACATAAAATAAACGGTCGGGCCAAATACAAACACACGAACGCCACCAGACACACCATCCATTCCATTTATTGGCATTTGTCCTCCATATATACTTCTATAAATTTTCAATTTAATCAGCGGAAAAATAAACTCACGCTTTATTTATAAGTTGCAACTCTTGCCAAGAATTATTTCGAGATGCGAGAATGTATTTTTGGATTGTTTTTAATTTTCTCTCGCTTTACCTCTTTTTCTCTCTTCTGTCTCCATCACCGCCCTTTCCTATTACTTGACTTCTGTTATTTCTCTCTTTTTTTCCCGCATGAGATTCGTATTTCGTGTGCCTGTGCACACAAATTGCACATTTCACAATTCGAAATGCATGCAATTCAGCTGCGTTTAGCTGTATCTAAGTAATAAATATTATGGCAAAAAATTCCACAAGTAAATTTATATACATTCAAAAATGCAGCAGAGAACGACATACATATGGAATGAAGCGAACGTTTCAAATATTAGAAGAACACTATTCAATTCAATTGAATTAAATTAAATGCGCAGATATTTTGCAACACGAAAAATCGCACCCAAAATAGCACGAGTGAAATGAATGAAAAAAATCATTTCGATGAGCCAAATTTAAGCGAAAAGCAAGAGCTCAACGATACCCGAAAGACTGAAAAAAGGGCACACTCAAGTCTCCTTCAAAAACAATAACAATACATACTGAAGCTGAATAAATAAATTTTAGTATAATCATCAAATGAGACTAGATAAAAGTGGTGATAATGACAAACGACGAAATCCATTTATATTCACTCAACCACTTGACGGCACTCACAAACAAATAAATAGACAAATATAATGTGTTGAGTGCCATAAATAATTTAATTATGACTTGTATACACACATCATCACCAAACAAAAGTACACAAAACAAAAAAGCAAAGACAATTAACGCGAAAGTCATTAATATACACGATAACATTTATTTTTAAAGGAGACTTTAAATATCATACATTTTATATTATGCTCAACGAATATTGTGCACAATGTACAAATAGAAAAAAAAGTTGACGATTGTATGCGCGACTCGTGCCAAACGCAAAACGATATATACATATAAATGTGTGTGTGTGTGTGTTTGAACAGCAGCACGACGTTGAATCCAAGTGGTTGAATGTGTGTGAGTGGAAGAGAGAAAGAAGGATGGGAACGAAAAGAGTTTGTAAATATATTGAAAATAAGAGAGCCTCAACCAGAAAGCATCGCTATTGGTTTGCACATCAACGAGCAAAGCTTTTTTTAGTACTTTTGCCATACACACTTTTGACTGTGAAGATGATGAAGAATGAACGCACGACAGAAAAACCTTGTGCCAAGACCAAAATTGCGATTACAATCCTCATATTACTGGTTCGGATAAAGACTAACATTAAATACAAAATCTCAAATAAAACTTTGTCGAAACAATCATAATTTATTAAAAATGTTACCATTGAATAAATTTTGTTTTAATTAGAAAAATTGTGTGTGTGTATGAAGGGGTGCGCGTGTATGCCATAGCAACGGTGTGCGAACATTTGACGAACATTTCAACCACTTTACATGCATATAATAATAATAATGTTTCGTTTCCATCCAACACACACATACACATGTACGCAGAATGTGTTTGCTTTTTCCGCCTTGAATTGAACATTATTATTATTTTTTGCGCAAAAAAAAAAAATGCAAAAGAAAATTATGAAAAACATTAGACAACTTTCGAAATAAAATACGTATATAGAAAACATTGATACGCACTCAAATTCCCGTAAGCTCAATGCAAACAAAGAGATTGTAATGTGATAATATGCCACATCATAAGCATCATCATCGCTGCCGTTGTCGGTACTCATTCTTTCATCCGGTAATCGTACGACAACAAATTCCAATGAATAAAATTACTCAAACAGATGAAAGTAAATGAAAGTAAAATTTTAAATAATTTACTCTTGAAACCGAGTTTTCTTACTTGTTGACAACAAAGACACCAACGAAAAATCATATATACAAGGGACTCTTTATTTTATACGAATTTTGACTTTGGAAATTGCTTGAAAGAAGGTATTTATTGCTTTCAATTTCGTTGTTTAAATTGTTTTCTTTTAGTTAAGGTTTATTTCATCTTCTTATTGTTCTCTTATTGCTCTTTTTTGAATCAATTCATGAATTATAAATGCTCTTTTTTTTGTATTTTTGTTTCATTCATGGTAACAAACGCACACAAACAGAGAAATCAATTTATTTTTTGTTGGCAAAATGCAAAGAAATTAAAGACAAACCTGTTTGGTGGTGAACACTACACTGCGGGAGTCGTTGCCAAATGTCATCAATATATTGTTGATTGTATGCGATTTCGGCGCTTTCATTCAAACCAATTACATCAGGTGTATTCAATAACGGCAGTATTTTAATGGCATCTATTTTATAAAATACACAAAATTACAATCAATTCATTCAATTATCAACCATAAAAATTTTAAAAATATCGTTGAGTTTTATTTTGGCTAGTTGACCGGAAAATTTAAATGCCCCGAAATTTTACCCTCGAATATTATTCAAACGACTAAGTTTACAATTAAAAAAAAAATTGAGGTACAATTAAGTACATTTTTGATAGAATTATTTAAACCCAAGTTTCGAATTTCACATGACCGGTCATTTAACCAATTTTCGATGAATAGAAAAGAGAGAATACATTTCTTAATTTAAAAAAAAAAAAAAAGAAAAGAAAACTGTTGCGTTTTTTTCCAGAAATGCAATCGAATTTCTATAAAATGGAGTGAATCAAATAGTAAAAAGTTATTTTTTTAGCACTGAGCTTTAGTTTAAAGAAACGAAGTTTGGCAAACGACATTTTCGATAGACAATTACAATTTCCATACAATTATATATATAAACTTTTGTTAAATCGAATCCATTTCCATGAATTTCGAGAACAATAAATAAAATCATACCATGTTCATTGAGAATTGCGTTTCAATTTAAGTCAAGTGTTTGCGTTGAAACGAAATTTCTTCGTTGCAAAAACGATGCGATCTCAATAATCAAATGTAAGGCGTAAAAGAATGAAACAAACAACGAAAATACGAAAAAAGAAACTTACCCAAAAAATCGGCTTTTGAATGTGCTGCATATGGGATTGTATAGTTTATGTGATGTTCGTTGCCTTTGTAAAAGTGGAATGGCTGATATGAGTCAAAGAGAAAATCACCAAGATACTCATCCAAATATGCGAACAGGATTCGTCTATCAAAATTGTTGAGAACTTTTCCACCATAAACCGTCTATGTGTTTGTGTGTGTGGAGAAGGGGTGTGCATGTATGCAATAGAAAATTAGAAGAGCATTAAACCTTATAGACTACAAACTGAAATCACTAATTGATTGTGCATCATTTATATCTTGGAATACACATATAATATGTGTGCTCATTCATTCATTGGGAATTTCGAAAAAATCATTAAACTTGAAAATCGTACATTCGCATACTACTTTTCAAAAAGATAATTATTTTAATTGAAACGAGTAAAAACATTTGAATAAATTATGTACACATAAAGCTCATTGATTAATTGACTAAAATCGTTGAGGCACTCTCTTTTGCTTCGTTTAATTTCAACAAAAACAACGTCGTACCTATCTGAGGATGACATAGATAGAAAAAAAAATGGCTATGTATTTGAATATTATATAAAATTGACAACTTCGATCGCATCGTAAAAATACGGGTAAAATGAGCATACCAAGTGTGCATAGTAGGAATAAGAATGAGAGGATTGAATAAATAACGAGCGCGAGATACATCACATTCACTTACCTCTCCAATCAAGAATTTCAAGTCGTTCCATTGAAATCCGCTTTCAAATGAGCAAGAAGCACTTTGGAAGAATGAGGTCAAAACTTTTACGCTTGTGTCATAATCAAATTCATTAAAATCATAATTAGCATTCCAGCCGATTTTGCCAAACTTTGAACGCTCCTGGATTTCACAATTTCACAAAGAATACGAGCATAACATTGTGGCGCGCATGTACATACAATAAAAGAGCCAACAGTAGAGTAACATCAACAGCAAGCAAATACCGAGTACGTTGAAGGCGAGGAATAAAGAAACGAAAAAAAAATTGAAATGAAAATGTGTCCGTGTGTTTTCATTTGCTTCGCGTTTTTTTTTTGCTTTGTTCATATAATACACAAAACGGTTGTGTCACAACGAAAATAAATGGGCCTAATGAATTTACGCTTTATGAATTTTACGCATTTTGAGATTAATCACATCGAGTTTTTATTCGAGTCGGTATTTCGTGAGTAGCGAACATAGAGCAAAAATTTACGAAGCAAAAGATATTTTTTTTCGTTTGCAGGTTTTTTTGCGATGGTGATAATAATAGCGTGTATGATGTATCTGTGCGCTTACTTGCATCGATGCATGGAAAAATGTCAAGACGTAGAGTAGCGGCTTAAAGTATTTGTGCGAACATCGATCGATCGACGACGACTCATCCAAGTTGGTGAAAGTTGTTTGCAAGCATTGTTTGATACCATTTGCCCTTTCGTATACCACTGGAATAACGAAACGAACGTTAAAATGGTAAAGAAATGAAAAGGAGAAAATAAACGAATGAATTTGTACAATGTCGACACGAAAACAAAGGAAAATTCGAAATCGGTTTTCAAATCTCGATTATTCTTCGTTTAAGGGTGAAAAATTTAAAGATCCGAAGACTGAAGAACCAGAGAACACCAGATGTGGTGAGAAGAGAGAGAGAAATGGTAAGAGAAAGACAGAAATGGTGGAAAATAAAGCGGAAAAACCAAAATCGAATAGATGAAAAAGAGTGAAGGGAGAAAGAATTAAAAAAAAGTATACGGAATCACAAGAAACAATGGAAAATCGTGACACAAGCAAGTGGCTATTTTCCCAACTCTAACAGATCCAAGACACTTCATGCATGCTTTGTTCTTGATTTCTTCGTTCCGTTTCGATATCATGAATTCGTAATAATAAATAAACACTTTTTGTGCGCAACTGGCTTCACTCCCGGTCACAAAATGATACGATACAAAACTAAGCTAAATCCGAAAACCCGATTTAGTTACTCTTTCTTTTCGTGTGTACACTGTACATACATTTTCATTGTGTGAATAAATGGTGATAAACCTTTGAATGATCTTTGTAACATTTCAAGTGGAAATGCCTTTGTTTCCCCTACTATTATTATCCATAATCGAAAATCTTGATGAAACTCATTTGACACTCTGATATCTAATAAATGATTTATTCGTTTAATTATGTGTGTCTTTCTGTGTGCACCGCTTTGTAAAATCAACCATTGCCCTGTCCTTATCGATTCGTTCAATTGTGAAATAATTATCTGCGAATAAGAGAGAGAGAGCGGACACAGAATGAAAAAGTGAGAAGCATTTTGTTGAATCACTAAGATGTATTCGAAGCGACGAATCTTTGAAAATTGATTTCGGGTTTTGTTTACAATGTCATTGTATAACTGTATACATTTACTGTTCTCCACGTAAACATTCATTCGACAAAACCTGAATAAGCTTAAATTCGCTTCAAATTACATTATACATATATAGATGTGTGTGTATGTGTTTGTGTAGGTGTGTATTTTTTGTCTGCATTTGAGTAAACGTACATCGTTGGCAGTGTGATCGATTGAAATAATATTTGCTCCACGGTAATTATGCGACAGTTTCAATATTTGATGCATTTGATCCATTCCATCGACTGGATACACAAGAATCGGCACATTTGGCGTGGATGACGTGAATATTTGATTGAAGTCAACAACAGGTGATATTAAAAACTCTTCACCGATTGTGCTTTTTATGTATGTTTGTATAGCGGGAAGAAAACGGTCTGATCGAAGGCATCTTACCATAAGCACTTTCTAAAATGTAAATTTCATAAAACCAAAATCATTTTTTGCACACGAGTTAATACAATAGATTCTTGAAAATTGAATACCTGAAAGTGGGTTATGCTTTTGTCATACGGTTCGGGGCAGTTAATTCTATCTGGATGTTTTGCTTGTAGCCAGTGTTGCCATTGTTCTCCATTCATTTCAATGTCATTGAAAAGGTTACCAAATACCATTGGAAATGCATTTACAAGTTGATGGATTCCATTGTATTGCTGATTCGATAGCCATTTCGATAAGGTGTTCGTCAATGGGGCCGACACAGCAATTGGCTTAAGTAAAAACACAATTTCATTACGCATAAGTCTTCCGTCACAATGCTCCAATTCCATAGCGATACGTAAAGAGAATAATAGTTTATCTTTTTGAAATATTCCCATCGAACCAATATTATAAATCCGTTCGCTTAAATTGGCAATTATTTTCAATAAACGTTGATTCAAATCGATATCGATGGTATTGGCATCATCCCCATCTTTTTTCTGTACCGCAACAACCACTATCTGCATAAAAATGTCAATAAAATCACGCATTGCGTGCTGATAAAACGAATTGAGAGCCGCCATATCAGTGAGTACAAAAAATAAACTGGCGCCTTTCAATGCAACCAATCGAAAGGCATTTCGTTTCGTTTCGATATTCTTTAAGGTGTTTTCATTTGAAATAATCGTTGAATTGAGCTCTTGAACTTCTAGCTTTGTCGTTTCAAGTAATTTCATTGTATTTGGATTATCAAGTAAATTCCCATCGCATGATACGATCTGTGTCAATAAGCCCGCTTCCAGTTCATCAAGACGTTTTCGACTTGTGACAATTGAACCATACAATGATGTACGTTTTTGCGCCAATTCACAATTCACCGAATCGAAGACAATGTCCAACAACTGATTTTCCAACGACGACAATGTTGTATTAAAATTAATGACAACGGCGCTTGAATAAACGTGTGCACTGAATTTTGGATTCGACCGATGGCTAACCAAATACATGCGAAACCCGTCATTGTAGTCGATTTCGATTGAGCCCACTTTTACAAATTGTCGGCTATCTTTTACTGGCGAGACAGAAGTGGCATGAGAGAAATGAAACAGAAAAGAAAAATGCAAAATTTATTTGAGTAACAGCACATTTTGACAATGAAATAAAAAAGAAAACAATGGTGTGAGAGAAGCGGCGAACAAAATATCAATGCAAAAATAAAGAGTAGAAACATTTGTAAAATGTAAAAGGAAAATGATGGAAACCAACTTAACAGCTTTATCTCGAGTAAATCCATCAATGTTGGATCAATGTGAGCGTGCACATCTTCGAATACAACGACTTCACCGAGAGCAATGGATTTTAGCAATTCACCAATGGTATCATCCGCATCAAATCGCAGAAATTTAACATTATTTTGACGTTGATGCGCTACTTTAATCCATTCGATTGCTTTAAACTGTGGATCTATACAAATCGGTGTTCTTAATGTTTTTGACAATATCATTCGATTTTGTTTGAAAAATTTATCGGCAAGTAAATTTTCGACATTGGAGACAGCGACACCAGCACCAACAATATCATCATCGAACGATCTGCAATTCAAGTCGAACGAAAAAAAAAAATGAAAGAAAAAAGGGGAGACAGAAGTATACACGATTACGGAAACACTTGCGAAGCAACGAAGTAATAATAATAACTGTGAACTCATTTATCGCATAAGAGATAGAGAGAAAGAGAATATTAGAAATGGAGTAAAATACATACGAGCCAATATCATTTAGATCGAGTACATCGAAAACGTCACCAATTGGAATGTTTCTTGTGTGAATGTCGCACAACCAATCATCAAATATCATTTCCTTGCGGAAAGACATTGAGAAGCAGCCGGTGTATGTAAGAAACGATGCTGTCAGCAAGCAATTTCCAATGACATTATCTTTTTCATTTTCCAAAACCGACAAATTCGATACCCATCTGCTCTTCTCTGGATTCAGTTCATCGACCAATTTCGTTGATATTTTCTGTGTTAAAAAGCGAGACAAGAGAAATAACGAAGAAGAAAAAGGAACAATTCAAAGTAAATGAATGTTACTAGTTATTTTTCAGACAAAACAAAAAGACAAAAAATGTTTGTGAAAAGGATTTTGTTTTTGTTTTTTTTTTTTTTATGGTGGTAAAATTCGCACACAGACATACACACACAAATAAGATGATAAAATGATAAAAATCTTCAATTCACTTTACCAATTTAGTTTCAGTTTCGCATAGCATTGCTTTTAGTGTGTGCTTTTCGTTGGTAGCGATAACATGATGCTGTCTCAACTCGTCCAATTCGATTTCCAATTGATTTTGTTTGACATTCAACATTTGCAGCACATTTATTGACTCTTCAACCTCATTTTCGAGCATTCTGACTTTTGCCCGCTTCGGATTGATATCTTTAAGGGTATCGCAGTACGTCAAAATAACTTTTAGAAATTTGAATAGTTCAAAGAAACCGACTGACGTTGTTTCCACTTGACTCAAATCGCATTTCTGTCAATAAAATCCAGTGTCGATCAATGGGTTAATATGGCCAGTGCTTACCAATAAATCTCATGTAACATTTAAACTTACTTTCAAATGTCCCTTGCATTGCGATACTTGCTTCAGACTAATTAAATCGCAATTAATGTCGGAAAGTGATTTGAAGTAGTCTTCTTCGAGCATGGCGGTGCGTACATTTTTCCATGAAACATCCCGAATACCTCTCAATATCAAAAAGCATTCACCGATCACTTCAACATCTTCTGGCGGCGATTCCATTTCGATTATATCGGAAATTGTATCTCGTTTAAATTCAATTATTGCCACTTTAGCTGCTTTTAGCTGTTGTAATGCATCGATTATCGTCATTTCAATTTTCTCCTTTTCGATTGCAATGTTTTTGCTTTTGGCCACTATCTCCGACTGTTTTCGAAGCGCTTCATCGGCTTTCTCCTGAACAATGTTGATATCTAAAAAGTGTGGAACGTTCATCGACGACAATGACGACGAATGAATAAAACAATATCATAAATCTCTTCACCGCACAATCAGTGTTAGTGGTATTCATAATTTCATTTAGTGCATCACTTTTGACAAATAAAATTCAGCATTTATTGAAAGACCGTTAGCTATTCCCGACAATTTTCGTTTTATTTACAAATTCAAATCGTGATATTGAGTGAGAAATAAAATAAAAATTCGATATCGAAATGAAAATGTAGTAGTAAAACGTGTTAAACTGAACTGCAAACGAAAAGAGCCACTCAATCGCAACATTTAAAATTTAAATTGATTTTTATTCAATAAAAATATTCAATAAGATATTTTTTCTTTAAATTCATGACTATTTAATCAAACGACCGGTAAAACCATTTTTAAAAACGGCATTTAAAACAAAATTTCTTACTTTTCTCGATATTTTCAACCATTCTCTTGCATTTTATCTTCAGCAATTGCATATTCTCTCGTTGTTCCTTCGCCAGCAAAGACAATTCATCCATTTTATCCGACAATTCGTCACATTTTGAAATAGCTTCGGACAAATGATTGCATCGCTTAACCAAATATCGATTTTTTTCCTCTGAACAAAAAAGAAAATACAACGAAAAAAAAGAAGTCAAACATTAAATACGTCGACTCATTCGCAAACGAACAAGGAACAAATAGTGGAAAATCGAAGCAAAAAAAAAACCAAATGATAGCAAATACAAACCTATCAAGCGAATGTTCGTGTGTATGTATTCGATATAATGTTTGGGAGTTACAAAATTCAAGCGATCACATTCGGCCAAAAAGCGAGCCGAATAATAGTGAACACTTTGATGCACATGCACTACATGCTTAACAATTCCATCGAGATGGTTTTCGGCAATCATTGGATGACCAACTAAAAAAACATTTGCCACTTTTGTAAGCACATGTTCGCTCCATGGACGCATGTAGTCAATTGAAGTATTTCCAATTAAACCTGGATACCGACGGCAATGCAAACGAAATGCTTCGTTCGGTTTCATAAGCAATGCAAAATGAATATTCTCATTGCTGTTGGTCAAAAATCGTTTCCATAATTTGTTGCTGCAGAACAAGATGTCAACAATACGAGAAAAAATATACAGTGAATGAGAACACACACACACACATAAACATAAAAAATATAACATAAATTGATTGTGGAAAGTACAACTTTTATTTTCACTACGTTTCCATCGCCTGCCCTCTCTCACTCACATACCCAGCTATATAGGTGGTTAATATGAGAGAATGTGTGTTTGTGTGGGGCAGAGGAATGGAGACGACAAAATTGCATACATAACAGGTGCATATAACATACCCTGTGGCCATTTCATCATTGTTTTTATTAATCCATTCGCTGTAGTCATCAATAATTTGAGCTTTTTCACTCTCCGAAAATAAATCATCAGTTATACCAACTGTAATGGTTTTATTTATGATCTCCAAAAAATAGGCCGACATTTTGTCCATCTGAGAAAAAAAAATATAATTAAATTTTCGCAATAAATTGATAAAATTATTTTAGTTGGGCACAGATTTTTGTCGCGCACCGAAAAAAAAATTAATCGCCAACCAATTTCAATCAATGTAAAACAGTAAGCGGCACCACGGCAACCATAGCTGTTAAAAAGATTTCCGTGATCCGTGAATGATTTATATGATGCGCAAAAGACTTTTATGATTTGTGTGACGAAAATGGCACGTGCAAGTCAGCTCTTGCAACAAATTTTACACAGTGGATTTTTGGAGATCATCTATCTCCATGAAACATACGAACAATTTAAAACCAAAATCGGAGCTACACACGGAAGTGACATTAAATACAAAGTAAAAGATAACTTTTTATACATTTGGTCGCCTTCATTTTACACATTGAACATGCATATATTTCAAATCCCGTTTTAAACAGTTAGCAACATTGTTTGAAAATTGAATGTTCAGCGGGAGAACTTAATGAAAATGAAACACTACATTAGGCTTGTCGGATTTTGTTCCTATTTGTGACATTTTTCGTGCAATGCTTTCATTTGTAATTTCAATGCCATTGTATGACATTTTTGTGGATTTTCTTTTCAAATACTCAAAATATGGATGTAGACACCACACACCATGTTATTTTCAATTTTTATTTTAGTATTAGATCCAAAGTAAAACTATAATTTGAAAGTAATATGTTTTTGCATACAAAATTTGAGTTTTTTTTTTTTTTTGGTAAAAATCCACAAAAATGTCACATTATGTCATTAGACAAAAAATGTATCGGAGAGAAACAGAATCCGACAAGCCTACACTACATTTTGAAATCCTAGCACCCTTTTTATGTGTGTTCAACAAACAAATAGTGTCATCTGAGCAAAGAGCATTTCAAATATCGAGAAAATGCATCAAGTGTTATATAAGTATATAAAGCATGAATTCGATTTTTATTTCCGGAAACAGATTAAAATGCTTAATAATAGCATCATTGAAAATGTTTCATAAGCAAAAATTCCATGTGATTTGCATTTTAAAAAAATTCGATGAAAAAATATATCAGCACAATTTGATTGGTTTTCTCACCTGATCGTTGGTAATTGAAAATAAGACAACGGTTCGTTTGTTACGGATTCCAATCTGTGTAAACAATAATTTGAGGTCATTTCGAAAGCGATTTTCATTATATCCCTCGCATTGGATGATTTCGAACAGTTCGCAACCTGTTTTGTGTGTGTTCGTCATGATTACCACATGATTCGATCGCAGCAAAGACAAAAACCAAATTGAAATGAGATAAAAAAATGTACACAAACAACAAAACCATAATTCGCATATAAACGATTTAACATTTAACGAGTGCAAAAAGTGTAATCATTTTTTTTTTTTTGTTTTTTCGAATTGAATTGCCGCCACCCACTTTCGATTTTAAAACTTTTAAATGTGACAAAAATGCGAAAATATACACTTTTACGTATTTTATCGTGTGCTGATTACAAATGTTAAATCCATATAATACAACTGATTTTTTTCTACAGAAATTAAAAAAAAACACACACAATTTAAGCATTTGCAATGCATTTTATATGTGATGATATCTCGAGTACTTGAATAAATGAAAAAAAAAAGGTGTAATATTGTAAATAATAATGATAATGTGCTTATTTTCGAAGCGAAAAAATCGAACCTGCTGTAAATGCTGCCAGTCGTATAGTTGATGCTTTGCCACAACCCTCTGGACCGAGCAGCAGTACGTGTCCGCTTTAAAAATAAAATCAAAATCTAAGTAAATGATTTCAATAATTTGTGGTTATTTTTGTCATTATTTAGTCGCTCGACGCTCTAACTCGCTATTTGACAATGTATATCTTTAATCAGGCATACCGATGAAGGCGCAATGTACGATGTACTCGTGTCAGATGCTCCAAGAATTCATCGAATAATACCAAATTCAATGTACACACGCGATTGTTGTACTTTTGTAAAATCTGTAAATAGATAAGCAGAAAGAAAGAGAACGGAACGAATTGTGTGAAATGAGCGGCACTGATACAGATATTTCTATTGTGAAAATGTAAAATTTGATTTCGCATTGTATATCTGTGCAAAATGTGATTGCCGAACGAAAGATAGAGAATGAAAACAAAAAAAACATTGGAAAGATTTGTGAAAAAGAAAGAGAAAACGGAAAGTGAAGAATGCGGATCATAAGTACCTCTTGGAATAAAAAATAAATGGCTTCGTAATCAAGCAAATCTTCATAGAACCGTGGTTCATTTTCATTAATCATATTTCGATAGTCACCGAACAGCAATGGATCACGTAGGGCATATTCGTGAATGGAAACGTCTATTGCTTGATTGCCTATACACAAAAATAATACAAATGATATGATTTTCATATTTATTATATTGTTTCCAGCGTTTTGTATTCGATGCTCGATGTCATGCTTTACGAGGCGGGACACATATACACACACACACAACGTGGGCGCGAGAGAGTTAGAGAATGGCTATGGAATGTGACTGCAAAGAGACACGCGTCATGTAATATGGAACCTTTTTTGCTATCCCGCCTGATCTCTCACTCTCTCAATATTTAGCTCTCTTACTCTTTCTAATTCCCTCTCTTGGTTTCTGCTCATCACTCACACCCCTGAAAATTTTGCATCATTCTAAACAAGTATGCAACACACACACACATACAATTCGCTGTTTAAGCGCCGCGTGTATTATAATATATGTACTGAATTATACATGTGCTGCATATTAGAGTGGCGTGCGAATGGAAAATTGGCGGGTAACACACTATATAGCAATTGAGCATTGAGAGTGAGAGTGAGAATAAAGAAAAAGAGCAATGAAAACAACAATAAGAAGAAAAAAAGAGATTTTGACGCCGAGCACACCAAATACAAAATGTATTTTAACATTTATCTGAAACAAAATAATTAATGCTGAAGCTAACCTTCAATTATTCCACCTTTTTCATTATCGCCGCTTTCATTTATATCGTTGCGTACCGATAAATCTAATTTATGTGGCGGAGGAAAAGTCTGCATTATCTCCTCAGAAATGAATTTCTTCATTAGTTTAACATCCTATTTTTTTCACCCGCGTATTGTTGTTATTCAAGCAATTCATTGTCGAAGTTTGAAGCGTTTGTATAGAACAGCATCGCCATCATTAGTTGCCATCGTCGCCGTTTTTATCGTCATCGTCGTCGACGTGGTTTTTTTAAGCATACCCACAACACATTCCAATAGCGGATATAATACAAATACATAGACCATCGTTTATTCCCGTTGATCGCAGCGGATACGGTTTGTTACCGCAATAAAAAACCATACACGCATTATTGCCGCCGATATTGTGTAGAACATGGCGCGCATAATACACAATGATGATGGTGTAGAAGAATGAAAATAACAAAAAGCATTCATTTTAAAATTGCTTTTCTTGTTTGTAACACGCATTAAATAAATATGAGATGCATATAATGTACGATAAAATCTATTTGGCAAACGAATAATCTGCGAGCAATAACATCAAAATCACGAACAAGTCATCCTTGCACACGCACATGCATGCTCATCTTGTACATTGTTCGAAATCTCTTGTCATGTAACTCATGAAAATAAACACATCTAAATTGAAACTAAAGAAAAACACACCGTGGAATCTTCCATTTTTTCTATATTTTTTTTTCTCTTCAAGTGGATTTCAATTTCAATTTCACATGGTTGGTGTTGTTGTTTAACGTTGATACTGCCATCAATTGTTTGGCGATGAAGAAAATGAGTGCAGACAAAAAAGCATCTTACCTTTTCACTTGAGAGTCTATCGCAAATAACCCGAGTAAATTCATTCCGCCAAACTCTAACCAACTGCTTGGGCAATCTAAATAGGCTTGTGTGCATCATTAACATTCCACAGCAAATTCTTGATAAATCTTTCAGATTAAATGTGTAATGGAATTTGCTTGGTGTTGGCGGAAGCTCAGCAATCCCAATCTATTTCAAGTGTGATGTCATTAAGTGTGCGCATTCATTTGGATGACAATACACGCACAAGATGCAAAATACAGCACCACGCAAAAAGAAACACACAGAGAGAGAGAGTGAGAGAGACAAAGATTATACTCTTAATTCAAAATAAAAAACCTTATCAATTGTAACATTCTTGAGGATGAAGTGAGATCGTGCCAATCGTATAACCGTAGAGTCGTTGTGACGGAATCGAACACAGCCCTTACCTTAAATAATCTCAATGTCATCTTAATTAGTGTATCCGAAATGGGATGTAGATCGGGCGTAAATTCGGCCAAGTGACCCCGTAATATGGATGTGTAAATATTGAAAACGATTGCATCTGTGGGCCGATTAATATTTAATGTTGCGCATAGTGATACGAAACGTGCATCTAATTCATTCCGGTCACCGCCTGGCGTTGTCATTGCGCAAAAATAACAAACATCTTTGAATATTTTCCATTTTAAATCTCTGTCGCAATCAAACATTCCACCCTTTTCGAAAAGCAATTTCAATAATGCGATTGGTTGTTGTGTGCCAAAGCTGTGTGATTGTGTGTGTCGGAATGCACGGCATATTGCCGAAAGAATTGAACAAGAATGGAATAGAAAAAAAAATCGAAAATGGGAAAAGAAAAGGATTTTGTGTTGTACTTGTTGTTGGTGACATTTTTTTTCTCTCTCGAGAACAAAAAAAAAACGAAATGTAAAATTAAAGAAATCTGTAATTGGAAGGAAATTTAAAATAAAGCCAGAACGAACGAATGAACAAACAAACATTCGAAGCAGAGTAACCGATAAGAGAGGGAGAGAGAGAGAGAGAGAGAAATAATGCAGAGGTGCGAGTTGAAATCTGTGCGTCACATCAGGAAGAAAAAGAAAAACAAAGAGCATAAATATAAAATGAATCGAAAAAGTGTGACGATGAGTGGAAATTAGGGAAACATTCTTCCGCGCTCTTTGTCTTATTCTTCGCGTGCACAATTTCATGCCATTTTCATTACGATGAAATCGGAATAAAAACAATCGTGAAAACACGAACAAAGTGAAAAATGAAATGAATATTTGCATTTTTTTTCCCTTTCTCTATCCCTTTCTTATTCTTATCGCCTGATATGATTTCCCTTTATTTTTGATTTGTTTCAACATTCTCTTCTAGAATTTTCTTTTCTGCATCATCCCATTCACAATATTCCATTACAATTCGTATTTCTTTACCAGTCAGTTTTCGGTGCGTTCAAATCATCGATAAATATGGTTAAACGCTTTCCTAACGGCGGTCCAAAGATGTCTTTGGTTCGTTTCTCCGTTGATGATTCAATGGCATGTTTTACATCTAATGATAATGTTGTGTATGAGAAGACAATTTGTTTTGTAAGCTGAAAAACAATAATTGATTTTTCTTTATTACTTCTCGTTATGGGCGTATGGTAAAAGTGCGATGGAAAAAAAGCGTAAAAATGAGGGCAATGGTTATAGTGATACCACCACGCAGTCGATTGATTTGTTTGATATTTGTGTGTTTGTACCACATTGCTGTCATTAAAAAAAGGGAAATAATAGACGAAAGGGCAAAACAAACAAAAATCAACCCTCTCGCACCAAATTGAAAAGAAAAAGAAAACGAAAGGAGATAAAGTGACAAATCACGAATAAAACATCTTACATTTCTATCGACATTTAAATTGTTCAAATAATTTAGCATGTTTGCTGTTTTTGCCGTTCCCGTATCACCAACCAGCAGCAACGGATGATTAATCTGTATAAAGGAATCGGAAAGAAAATAAAAAAAAGACGAAATCTCAGCGATCTTATTCTTTAATCAATTCGGAGATTTTTTTCAGTATTCTTATTTTAGACATTTGTCTAATGTTAAATTTCAAGCAAGCTGGATGTACTTACATTATTCAGTTGATTTAGTATTTGATTGATTCGAATAGAATCGGCAGTTGGAACGTAAATTTCATTAAATTTGAGATGAACATTGTGTATGTATTGCGGTACGATCCAATCGTAAGCAATCCATGCGGTTCGATTACAATCAAAAAAGTAGTCAAATAATGTCTTCTTTGAAGTAGGACAGTCATCACATCCGGCCGGTTGATCGAAATTATCCACAAAATCCGGCTTTTGCATAATATTTTTTACAAATTTGTCAAATTGAATGGTATCTGCTTCGAGCAATGCCACACCAAATGATTTGTAAAGACACTAATACCAAATAAATAATTTACCATCGTCATCAGCGGCAATGCAAAGAAAAAAAGATGAAGATGAAAAAGAATAAAAAGTAAAGAGTGTCAATAAATGTGATACGAGGGTTGCTCCATAATTTTTTTTAAAAACATATATAACACAGTTGTTTTTTGTCGAAAATGGTTTTATTGTTTTTCAAAATATTCCCCGAGATGATCGATACACTTTTGCATTCGATGAAACCATTTGTCATAGCATTCGTGCCACTCCGAAACTGATATCTCCAAAACGTGTGTTTTGAACGCTTCAACTGCTTCTTCTGGTGTCGAAAATCGTTGACCACGTAGTTTTTTCTTCACGCTTGGGAACAAAAAAAAGTCATTGGGTGCCAGGTCAGGACTGTACGGTGGATGACCCATCAGTTCGATGTTTTGACCGGTCAAAAATCGAGTAGTTTGAAAAGATGTGTGAGAGCTCGCATTATCGTGATGAAGAATTATTTTGCGACGGTGGTTGTTTTTTCTTATTTCACCAAACACTTCGGGCAAACAAATGGTGGTATACCAATCAGAATTGACGGTCTTACGATCCTCTAGTGGAACGGTTGCCACATGACCACTTCTCCCGAAAAAACAGGCGACCATTCGCTTCGAAGTGCTTCTTGCTCGAACAACTTTCGTTGGGTTATCTTCATTTTGGAAGACCCATACAGTCGACTGCTGTTTCGTTTCGGGCTCATAGGCATATATCCACGATTCGTCACCAGTGACGATTTTATTAACGTCTTTTGAAGCACCACGATTGAATTTCTTGAGCATTTCTTTACACCAACTCACACGAGCCATTTTTTGTTCATCGGTCAATTTATGTGGGATCCGAGAGCAAATCTTTTTTACGGCTAAATGTTCATGCAAAATTGTATGTATGCTGTGGGATGAAATGCCCAAAGATGCCTCAATCTCACGGTAGGTCACATGACGATCTTCCATAATCAGTTTTCTGACAGCATCGATGTTTTGTGGCACAACAGCCGATTTTGGACGACCTGTATGAAACTCGTCTTTGAGCGAACTACGACCGCAACGGAATTCTCGGTACCAGTTATAAATTGTCTGAAGGGTTGGTGCTTCATTGCCAAAGGCCAAATGAAGTCGATCGAAACACTGTTGTTGAGATAATTTACTTCGAAAATCGTAGTAAATCATTTTACAAAAATCTTCACGTGTAAAATTCATTTTTTTGTTGAGTCGCAGTTTACCAGTCACTGTAAACAATACAAATAGCGTTCGTACGACAAAAGGTTCAGGGCACGAATACATACCAAAACATCAAACTTTACGAATATGACAATGGTTTACATCGGGCAACACTATAAGTACCATTTTAAAAAAAATTATGGAGCAACCTACGTAAATAAACGCTGACACAGGCGAAAAAGTGGAAATACAATCATAAGCGGATAGGTATTTATAAATTTATCGATCGAATTTCATTGGGATTCAGTTTCCAAATAGTTTTTCACTAATTCTACCGAGGTGCGTGCACAAATTCTCATTGATACAGAGAACGAGTGTAGTCGTTTTGTTTATATTATTATCCAGACACTATATTGAGATATTTTCAGCAAGCTGAATCAGATCATGTTTGTATGAGTGTTTTTATAACTATAACAATCACTTTAATTGTTTTCACTCCATTTCAGCGCCTGACGTAGGCTTCCTGAGCTGTATCAGCTGACTGAAAATATTTCAATATAATTTCTGCTATTATGTGATGTTTGTGTGATGTTTGAGTATGTCAAGCATATTATATGGAAATTGCACAAAAACCAAAATGCTTCGGTCGTTGTTGCTATTGCTCGTACCAAAAATGTACAAATTGGATTCAAATTTCAAATCAATAGAGTGCACTACATTTGATAGTGAGCATCCATTCATATTCAGTATTAGTGATGGGGTGACACAGGCAACGAATGTTGCTGCCAAACCACCAGTTTTGTTGATGTATAAGCTGTTGCACAAGAGTCTACTAATATTCCATTGAATTTTGAAAAAAAAAAGATGAAAAATATACAAAATCAACAACAACAAAATAACATTTTGTATCTTTACATCAATAAAGCCACATTCAATTATCGCATCATCATCATCAATCGAGGTTGACGTTGTTGTTCTCATCGTTTCCATTGAACTGGATGTTGTTTTCGATAAAACTGCTGCTGCCGTCGCTGTATTGTTGCTCGAACTTTTTAATGTTGGAAACATTGCATCGAACATACAACAAAATTGAGTTACCATATTCAGATTTGTTTGATGAATGACTCTTTTCAATGGATTTTGCTTGCGCATATTATTCAATCCATCGATAATGTAATCAATGCACGGTGTAATAAATCTATCAAACAATCGCTGTATCGTAAAAACATTATTGCATATACATATATATACATCGATGGCACATAGACAGTTGGTGTTGGTGTTTTTTTGTATTCGTCGAGTTGGCCAATATGGTGTTCATGCAGTATACACACATTGAGCACGTGAGATGCAGACCAGCAGTCACGTGAATACAAGAGGGTTCCATATCCAACGAACATAGCAGCATGTGCGACAAAAAGAACATAAAAAATGCAATATATTTAATGAGTTTTGTGTAGGAGAAGTATTTTAATTAACATTAATACGAGCAAACATTTCACATTTTGCAATTAAAGTGTGAAATATAAGTCCATTAAATAGTGTTAAAAATGCCAGAACGAAAAAAATGACACCAATACACACATACAAAATATATATAAAATCACAACCACAATAATAATAAATACAAAGGGAATTTAACAAAATGAAAAAAAAAACACCACAACTAACTGAAATCGATTGCTTTTGCATGTTTCATTTCGAAGCAATAACGATAAATCACGAGCAAATGTACCTGTAATATTTTGGTAGGCCGATGGGTCTGTAACCATCGTTGCCAAAATGGCTTATAACCCAATTGATTCGAATCAACGAAAACCACTCCAACTCTTGATATGGTGGCAGGTGAAGCGTTAACCAAATTCCCAATCTGTATGAATTCGAATATAAACAGAAGGTGGAGGTGGGCAGAAAGAGAAAGAAAAACCACACCATCACCAAAAATTACTACTTCATTCGTCTAGTGTTTATTTTATATACATATATATGTTTTTCAAGCGAAAATGTGCGTATAAATTTTATACCTGTTGTTTGAAGTGTGAGTCAAATAATGTCCGAAACAACAAACATATTGGCAGAACGAGAGACAAAGATAGAAACAAACGATCCGTTTCGAAATTCAAAGAGAGAGAGAGAGGGAGATACAGCATCATCAATATCATGATCCATGGATGCAAAGGACGAACAAGAAATAGAAGTTGAACATCATAAATTTAAGTTTAATTTTGTTTTTCGATCACCTCACCTCGAATAGGATTCCACAATGATTTTCCAAACGAATGCATTCGCCATTTCCTAATGTCAACATTTTGCTATTGTCCATTACGGTTTTCATATTTTCAATGTACACCGGATCCAAATCGCCATCGAAACAAATATATCGATGCTCCTGATGTGTGTATGAAAAAAAAAGAGAACAGCAAAGATTGCACTCAAAATATCACAAAAAATAATGTAATAAAGCACATTTTATGCTGGAACACATTGAACATTTATTGCCAGGTGTTCATTGTAGACATTTGCTTTAAAATTTATGTGCACAGCAATTTGGTAAAGATGTTTCATTCACCACCCTGGAGCATTTTGATGATTTTTTTTCTCGTCTTCTTCGATTTCTGGGTTTCTGATGAACAGTTTTGGGAAATACTTGGAAATGAACAAAGGAAGTCGCTCAAGATTTGCAGAATTTTCGCAACACAATATACGATGTTGTGAAAATTTCGAACGAGTGAATTAAATCACGTCGTTAACATTTGAAGCACCAGTGCAACGAAGCGTCCGAGTATTTATATATTTTTTTATGGAGAATCAGCGCGTAAACATACAAAATGTGCTTTTATTCAAAATTCGACAAGATCTGAAGTATATTTTAAATTAAAACAAACAGAATCCATTTCGCTTGGTTTTAATTAACTGTCGAAAACCTTTAAAATTGCTCCGAAAAAAGAAGATTGTACGTGTACATATTCGCATCAATATTTGTTAGTTTTTTCTTCCCTTTTATTTTATAGCAATAATTATCTTGAAACCACAACAAATATCCGCCGTAAATTTGAAAATTGAATGTTGCTTACCTCTTGTTCAACGGGCAATATGTTCATTTCACGAAAGATGCTTGTAAACAATCCATCAATCCAATCATTGGTACGTGGATGCAAATATCCGAACAGTTCGATCGCTGAACATGCCTTCGAGAAATTATTTCAAAATTACCGTTTTTAATATGTCAGCGGTGTCTGACATGGTTCAAAGTAAAATGCAAAGCACACACATTCATACACATCCTAATACATATCCTATGCATATCGTATTGCTCTTTCATGCTCTCAACTCAATATTACATACAGCCGGTGTATATTTGTATGAGATTGGAGACTTTTTTTTGCGAATCTCGCTAATGAGCGCCATCTGATTTTAGTGTGAATTAGATGCAAAAACTGAATTTAATTCTGTAGCATTGAAATGAAAAAGTGAAAAAACAACAACAATAGCACGGCCACACAGAGCTGTACATCTATGCGTGCTGATGCATACATACACATATACGCTTTCTTCATTCTTTCATTCCATTGCTATACGTATCTCACTGGTCAACAGATCTATGTAGCCATGTTACTGTTGTTGTTTTTTTTCTCTTTTTCGATTCAATTCATTGTAACTAAATTGAGTTCAACTATGGAATACAAGATGGCACAGATGAGGGGAATTCGCATTTTGTCTCTTCATAGGCTTAGCCGGTTGATTACATAATAATTTGGTTTACTTGCTAATTTTCTCTTCATCATACAGCATATGGAATTTTGTTAAATTTTCCCAAATCAACATTTGTGCAAACAACCATTTCATATTTCGTGTGGATTTTCGTGTCGTGCGCGATTTCACTTTGGCTTATAGCGACATTCAAATGGGAATCTTTTTCATCCTTAATGGTTTAGCAAATTCAAACTCAAAAAGTACACATCAATTATGTGGTAGTTATTGCAAATGTAAAAGCTCACATATTTTGCTCGTTACAATGTGGATGTGTGCGGGTGAAAAAAGTGGCGAACAACAACAAACACTTATGAAATATTATTGCATGCAAGAGTGCATTATATTGTGAAGAGAGTGCTTGCGGTTAGCCTTGAAATGGGTTGAAAGCAGCGATTTTGTGGATATGGCAAAAAGCAAACTTTCTTTATGAGATGCCATACATCTAATTTTCACAAAAGTGAAATGTGAAAGTTCAAATAATTAATATTTGGTTGCCACATCGCTTGAGCTATAGGTTCAAAATCGTACGAATTTTTACTTGTAACACTTGAATGATTTCCCTTTTTAGCAAACGGAAATTACATTCATTCTTGAATGCACGAATGCGATTTGTTGAAATGGGCGCATTTGAAATTGTTGTCATTTTCATTGAATTCACTCTCAATGTATTACATGCCAAAATTTTAATTATTCAAGAACCGACATAAATCAACTGCATCATTTAAATTCACTAAATATTGTATTGAATGTAATCACATTTGAAAATATGCATCACCACAACAGTATTTATAAATTCGATTGACAAGTATAGTCGTTTTCAATAAGATCTGTTACAGCGAACCGTCAAAATTTTGAACAAACAACCTACCCTCAACAAAATTCAAACCAAATTGATACGTTTAACTAAGGAGCCTTGTTTACTTTAAAAGTAAGTAAAAAAAGTACTACTTTTGAATGGAAATGCGTTCCGAAATTCATTGTATTAGTTTGACAACACAGATCTTTTTGGAAACGACTATACAAGTTGTAAAATTCAACTTTCTACAATTATCTAATGTATGTGGCGATTCAATGGGTATGCATGTAAAACACAATGTTATTTCTTGCACATAATAAAAGAAATACATTTTATTGAACACAATACGAATAGAAGTTCAATGAACAGATTTCTTGCTTGTCAAACAACCACCATTGTTTACCCAATTTACATATATAGTGTATAAATTAAAACCGATATAATATTTACTTTATTGATATAGAAACACTGTGAATTGCAGTGTTTGCATTGTGTGTTGCCAATTCGGGATTGGCAATTGCCAATATTACGGTATGCATATGTTTGTACTGTGTTGAGCAAAACTCCTTTGGCTCTCATATGATTCGGTGTTGTCCTTTTGAACACACAACAAATTATTGTGTGTTCAACCAATTTGATTTAATGTCCAAATGTTAATAGTAGTAATAATACATAGTAATAGACATGGCAAACTGTTATGTATGCAAGCACGCATTGCCTCATACGGTATTCGTATAAGTGTACACTCTGCAGTTAACAGAAAAGCACTTTAGTCAAACTTCAAGATTTAATAGTTGTGATGTGTGCAAAAGGTGGTCGTGCACATGCAAAACTCTCAAAACTACCAAGAATAACATGCAAAACGACGATGATGTACAATGGCCTTAGACTAAAAATTACACCATTTCCGTATATCCATGTTTCAAACAACCATCCCACTAGAAAAAAAAACTTGGAATGTGAATGGAATTATTGCTGGTGTCGTTGTCGTTGTCGCGACTGCATGCATTTCTTGTCATAGGAGTATTCTTGCACACCCAAATATATATTCTTAATGCCATTTATTAATACACATAGATATCATAGACTTTTGTAAATGAATACGACGTCGAGATTGAACCGAGTGTCGGTTGCGTGTGCTGCATAGCATGCTTTCTCCAATCTTCGTTGTCGTCGTCGTCGTCGTCGTCGGTGTTGTTGTTCTTGTTGCTGTTACCTACAATGTGTGCACAGTTGGCAATGAGTTTAAGTTGGCATATAGTTTGTGAAAATTAAACACAAATATACGTACACACATTTTCGTAAACTAATAAATTCGCGTTACGAACGCCGATGTCATTTCGCTTGCCCTGTGAAAATTTTCTCACCAGTGGAAAACCCAATGTGTATATTCATCTACACACAAAATAAAACGTTCCAAGTAAGTAGTCGGAATAAAATTGCAGAGAAATATAAATTAAATCACTGTGAAGTTGAGACAGTTCACTGTTAACATCAATATGGACACGAGCAAACATTAAATTAATAAACAGCCGTCTGCATGCAAATGAGAAAGCCAATACCAAAGCCTGACATTAGCACGTACCCGTGTACCCGTACGATGACGACGACGACAGCGACAGCGACGGCGACGGCGACGATGAGAAGAATGGGTTTGTATGGCCCGATAGAGTTTATGAAAGGAAAGTGCTTCGCAAATAGCTTTACATATTGCGATAAATAGCTCTATTATTAAAATAATTTAAGTTTTAAGTGCACACATATTTCACTGAAATGTGATCGTTATCTTTCATATTCATTTCACTCATACGAGCCGGAAATCGGGTCATCATTTTACAATTCATTTTCTATCTCTATCTTTCACCCCATTTTATTCGCATAAGCTTGACGCGCTTTATGCATTTTCGTCGCTCATTCAGTATCCTCTATCCGTATTGTTTTGTTCTTAATTTTATCCAAAAACTAACGACACATCCGGTATATCCAAATGTCGAAACATTGAATAAATAAGCTGCATACACACATACACACGCATACACACAAAGAAACAATTTACGAAAAGCAGGTAAGTTTGTCGTAGCAAAATGCCAATTAAACATTTTGTATGTCTCGAATGTTCACATGCTTTTCATAAATTCACAGTTTCTTGCATACTCCCATAGCTGCCACGAATGGAAATCTAACCAACACACTTTTGGATTGAGCACCGTGCACTTGGTCGGTATTCCCAAATGGCATTGTACTTTTATGAGCGTGTTTATGATGACAGTTTTTCCTCCACCTGTTGAGCCGACAACCATGCTACAGTGACGCGTCGACAACGTTTGATACAATTGAACGATTTTGTCTTGCTAATTTTTGTTGATGTTGATGTTGTTGTATGCATGCCGTTTGTGTTTTGTTGGTAATCGTGGTTTTACGTTACGGATTCATCATGGAACGAAAATAACGAAGAGGAGGAGAGAAATTCAAACATAAATTTTAACATTGCATAAAAAATATAGAAAATAAACTTTTCTTTATATAATATTTAAATGTGTACCGTAGAAAAAAGAGTGCTAGCAACAAAAAAGAAATAAGATGAAAGTAGATCAACGGGATGGGAACAAACACGAAAAAATGGACATTTGAAAAAAGAGTGAGGAGACAAAAATTGCAAGCAATTTTAATGGGTAGTCAAATTCGGGCCGATATCAAAATTCAAAAAATCGTCTATACCACTAAGATGTACAAATTATGTACAATTATGTATAGTCGTTTCCAAAAAGATCTGTGTTGTCAAACTAATACAATGAATTTCGGAACGCATTTCCATTCAAAAGTACACAAGGCTCCTTGTTGAGGGTATGTTGTTTGTTCAAAATTTTGACAGTTCGCTGAAAAAAAAACAAATCCAATAGCTCTACATTTCATGTAGCGCTTATAATTTTAAATGAGTTTCGCTTTGGTGGTGTACGAATTTCGGGTAAATATTTTCCGGATTTTGATATTTTCAATTTGACAAATTTTGGAAAAAATGTTGGTACATTTTCATGATAATTGTACATAATTTGTACATTTTAGTGGTATAAACGATTTTTTGAATTTTGATATCGGCCGGAATTTGACAACCCATCCAGCAATTTATGTGGTAAAATGGCAGCTGGGCATGAAGAGAACAGACTCAAATGGCGCCCCATAACAAACCAACGAAGCAGGAAACAAAAAATAATGCTGATGCATACGTTCAAATCCAAATTAAGCTTACCTGTTCAACAAGCCAAACGTAATTTTCTGATTCTAAAACATGCTTAACGGCCGCACTAAATTCCGGATGAGTAACCTGCAGACAGTCAATGCCAGGAAAAAGATCCTATTCCATACAGAGGATTAAAGCACGGGAATATCATTTGAAATTAGCAAACATTTTTTTTTTTGCTCGCTTTCTCTCTTTTCTATTCGGCTACATATTATTTAAATTTAATCGCACAGAAAAGTAAACGGAACACGAAATGACTAAAAACAACATGCAACAACTGAACAAAGAATATGACACTAACACAAAAAAAGGAAAAAAAAATCCAACATAAATACGGAGTGGTATAGCATGAAATACAGAAAGAGAAAATCACCTTAATTAATCCCAAAAAAAGTGGAATGTCCTCGAAAACAAGTTTCGAAAGATTTATTTGATGTAATGCTTGAATTAAAATGACCGATTCACAGGCTTCGGTTTCATGATTACGCATCTCTGCCGCCGAATTGATAACTGCTTTCAAAGAACGTAATCCCCAGTCGTAATGTTGCTGTTTTGATAGTTGCTCGTTAGCTAATTGATACAAAGCCACGATCTTTTTTGCCAACGTCTGAAGTATTTAGATACCGTATTTTTGTTTTTATTATTATCACATAAGATCAAATTACCGTAAAAAAACACTTTTATATTTCGTCAATGGGATGGGATTCAGTTCAGGTTTGCTGAAATGTTTACTGTTTTAATGCCATGCAAACTAGACTAAATCCAATACATTGACCGATAAATGGGTGGCATTTAATTATATAGAAATTATGGTGGTGATAATAATGGATCAACAAACAAATGAGGGAGATATATGGCTTACTTGTGCTTGTTTAAATCCATCCGAATATAAAGAAATTGCACAAATCAATTCTCTATCTGGTGCAACACAAGCCACCGGCCGAAAATGGGATTTTAAAAAAGCGGGCAAACTAGAGATGCTATTTTGTATTTTATGCGTTCGGGCATTAAGGGTGATGAAAAGACCAAAATTATTGTTCAAATTCAATTCGGTTAATCCATCCTGTATAAAACAATAAATTCTCTATTAATATTTCAAATTCAAAAGCGGAATTAGTTTTCGCAGTGAGTGAGCGAATGAGTGAGTGCCTAGGGGTTTCGTTCGCATTTTCTTCGATGAATTCAGAGTGATTGAAAGACAATCCCTACTGCAAAAATTTTAATAGACTATTTTTGAACAAAATAACTGAAAAATTGGTTATATCCTTTTACATGCGTCTCAAAGTCAGCCAATAGTTAAGTCAATAAGTGTATATTACTCTAAATCACTATTAGGTGACTGAGTGTTTCAAGCTAGAATTCTACAACACTAAACGAACTCATTTGCGTCAATGTTATGGCTTATAAGTCTTACTTTAAATTTCATTCACTTGATCAATATTTGGTTGCACACGGGACGGGATGGGTTTTCTCAAACAACAGAATGAAATTATTTGCGTTTGGAATGTAGTGCACCCCCGTCCCACGTGCACATGCATACAGCGTTTATACGATTGAAAATGCGAAAAGTTGATGGCAGTGTAAAAGTTAAACTATATAATAAAATTCAATTCAATTTAAAATTACTTGGAATGTGGGTCGTTTTGTAATCAGAGCCATATTTAAAGCGTGAATTGGCATTGAAATAGCATTCATCACTGCGTTTCTCATATTGTTGAAGTTTGTTAAAATGCCCCAACCACCGCACTGCACAAGACCAATGAATATCGTGTGTAACGTCTTAAAATCCATGAATTCCGTACAATTTCTTATCACTGAGAATATCGCACATATATTAGCTAGATTTTTAATCGTTTGAGTTTTTCCAGAATTTTCTTGCCCGTTCAGCATACAACCCATTTGCATATTGATTGCATGTGCAATAGCAAAATGAACCTTCTCAGTATCTGGCGTTATAACCAATCTTCCATTTAAACCCATGTATTCGTAGCCGTAACTTAGCCGCCGACCTAAATTTTTGCCCGGTGCAATGAGAGAGAGAGAGAGAGAGAGAATAAACGAGAAATAAAATGAAGGAAAGAAAGAAAAATGGCATTGAGAAATGGCAAGCAAATTTTTGAGGGCACAAAATGGACAGAATGATACATTGAACCGTTGCTGATCAATAACTCAACCCGGTTCGTTTGACCGTACGATACGAATACGTGGCATTATTCGTATTCCAGATGTGCAATACATAAAAAAAGCACAATGATTAAATGAATTGGCCAAACGTTACCGAACCGAATCGATGTGTAATTGAAAATTAATTGGAAGCCATAAAATAATACTAAAATCCTGTATCGTGTACCTGAATAGTGTTCAATAAAAATATTATCCACTTCCTTGAGCCAATGGAACCGGAGCCGACTCAACCATTGAAAATGTCTTGCATCGTTTATGTGATGTTCGACAAATAAATCGACAACATCTCTTGCATGCACATCGGCAATAGCAATTGTTTTGAATTTGAGGCGATCGCTGTGTGTTAAATTTGAATGAACTGCATTGTTGTTGTTGTTGTAAATGTTATCATCATCATCGTCATCATCATTACGGATTGTATGGAATAAAGTTGGGATGTAGTGGTTGACACCGACGATGGCAAACCAATGGATAAGCATAATTAGTTAAGTAAATTTCGTTTAAATTTAGCACAATCATTTTCACATGTACATATAAAATGTGTACAGTAATTGTCTCACACCCCCCTCTCCAATCCACAGTTTGAACGGGTATTGTTGATTGGATTGGAGATGAAATGGTGGTGGGTCCGGTTTGTAAACCGTACACCAAATTATAATTCATTTCGAAATAGTTAATTAATTTTCAAACCTTTTGCTATTAAATCATTTATTTGCGCGTTTTGCTGATTCAGTAAGTCTTGCATGGCATCCTTCCGTCCGTTCGTTATTTGGTGAAAGGTTTCCTCCATTTCTGCGGTAAACCAAACACTATTTGCAGCCAAACATACCATACCCAAGTTATTGTGAATCCATTCGATGCGTGTTTTATCACAGCTTTTCCCATAATCATAAATCGCACCTTTCGTCACATAACGATGACTCGAATACATTTGCACTAAGATATTGTTCAGCCAATTTTCAATAGGAACATCTGTTGAAACTGCGTCATCGCCATCGCCATCGCCAACGCCATCGTTACCATATCGATACGAATATATGGTTACAATAATACGTTTTGGTTTGCGCATAGTTTGATAAACATTTCGATTAATATTACAATCGGTATAATCACATTTTCAATTTATTATCAAGGTTTTATTAGTTTTGTTTATTGTCTAAGTATGTATGTATGTATATGCGTTTTGTGTACACAAACCTTCGGTTTGAAATTGTAAGAATTCACCTTCGGTTGAAATCATTCCTTTGATTACCGTGATACCATTTAAATTCGTTTCTAATCGCAACGATTTTATATTTTCAAACATCTGAAACAAAATACGACCATTAAAAAGACGATACGAAAGAGAGTAAAGTGGAGAGGAACAGAGAAAGAATTTAGAGATACAGCGATAGAAATGGTGGCACATAATTGAAATTGAAATGCAACACACTTACTTTGATTATGTGGGATTGCACGGAAACTGGGTCTCCATTTCCTAACATTGATAGCAGCTCGTCCGTTGACATAAAATAGAATCTGTAATACAAGTACAGCAGCAAGTTGTTTACTTTCGCCCTGGGAATTCATTTTCTCCAATCGCTTTTCTACTTCCACTTCAATTTCTACGCCTATGTTGAGCTTTATTTTTTTTTCTCTCCCTCGTTTATCTTAAATGTGCTTATATGTATGTGTGCTTGTGTTCTACGGTATGCGTTTTTCAATTCTTGAATTGTACCTTGGAAACATGTGTCTTTTTCCATCTAAATAGCCGTTTAGTGACTTTTGGCATTCCTCTAGGCCATTGATGAGTTGATGTAGTGTTTTGATGCGATCCGTTGCCATACATACCCTTATTACACCTGGATTTTCAACCGATTCATTCAACAACTGTTGTCATTGTCATGCCAAAGAAAAAGAGCAGCACAAAAGATAAATAGTAAATGGAACATGCTATAATCAAAAGCTTTCGAAAATCAATAAACACCAAAACAAGTTTTATAATATATGATTTTTGTTGTTGTTGAATACTTTTATATATTCGGCGTCAATCAAGTCAAATTTAGCGGCAATTGTTGGTAATTTGATACGTGCGTCATTGTCAACAAAAATTCCCTCCAAGTACAGCCATTTTCGTTGCGTATAGTTGACCCATTGGTCGATTATTTCGTAAATGAACGATAGAGTCTTTTCCCATGAGTGAATCAAATCCGAAAACGGTTTCACAAATCTTTTAAACCAAATGATAATGGAAATGCGTATTGTGAAAATGAATAGAGGGACAAAATACAGAAAAAAAGTTTTCAACGAAACATCATCCCCAGTGCAGAAGTGTTGGCAACTCTTGCAAATCGAACGAAAGAGAAAAAAAACTTATGCGAACCTAACCAACTAACAATTCAATGGAAGAGAAATGAAGTTTTTATTCAGTTAACTCTCCTGATGCTTCATTTCAATCGTTCTGTTTCTTTTTCCTTTCTTATTTTATCCATGTTGCTCTCTCTCTCTCTCTTTCCCTGTGTCTCTGCAAAAGAGGCCACACTTGCACCCAAGAATCATTTCAATTGAAGTTGATCTTACAATGAAGTAGATAGCATTTGTAATTGCATAACATCTTCCTCAATGATTTGAATGATTTTGTCTGTGTTAACGAGTATATAGCAACGTTTGGACATTCGCTTGGAATGTGACTGAAATGTAAACATTAATCGATCCCATTTTGCAATAAGTTTATCAAGTGTTTGTTCAATAGAAACTTCATTGTTGGCGGCATGAACAATTTCCTCGACATCGACCTACGTATATATCATTGATAAATGTGAAAAATTCCATGAAATTAGTGTCATTTCACAAATAACACAAGTTGACTTCTTCGCATTCCATTTCAAATTGAATTGAGATACTTGAAATTTGGTTTGTTCAATAAACTTTTATCACCTGATGTTTATACAAATTCATGGCAAACATATCGGATAATCGAAATTTCTTTGGATTTGTACTAAAATGGTGTCCAGTTTTTGTCATCAAATGTTTCCAATGCCTATCACGTAACGAATCATTCTGCAGTTTTGCCATCAGTGGCACCGACATTTTAAATTGCATCATTTTTTCATGCAATTTTCGGCCAGCATTCAATTCACGAATCTGTAAGCGAATAAAAATCGATTGATTTACATGGTCAATACAAAATGAGTAAATTGAATGAAACGGGTGAAAGCATTAAGAACAAAAATGAAAATTTTAACAAAAAAAAAAAAAAACAAATGTTCGATTGGATTGGCATTATGAATGTGTATGTGTGTACACTTTACGGGGCGCATCAACGACTGAAAAATTGAACTCCATTGTTGATGTGTCATTTATCGTCTATCTAGCAACTAGCAACATTGACTAATTAAGCTTGGAAGTGAGTCCACATAACTGCATAGTGCCATTCATTTGTAGTTTCCAAACCGAACCAAACTATCTACAGGCAATGGATCTATGAATACGAACGATAAACAGAAAGAACAAACAGAAGAGAAACAAAAAAAAATAGTTGTATGTGAGAGTGAAAGATGTAAAATTGACACCGACCCATTTTTCAAGTTTCTCAAATTCACTGATGTATGCATTGATTCCTTCAAACAACAGATACGGATTCGAATTACACCATAATGTCGTTGCCCAATTGTCTCTGGCATTTTTCTCCTGTTTGTAAATTTTAAAAATCTACATATTGATCGAATGAAAATCGCACGAGCGCGTAATTTATTTGGGTGTATTAATTGAATGGTGAGCATCAACATATCGGGATTCCGGAATTGGTGTGTAGTTTGTGTGTAGGTGTTCGGACAATATTCGATGGCAAATGAATGATGATTTTTTTTGTCCTTTGGTATTCGTTTATTTTGTTCCATCGTTCGTCCGTTCGTCGATTCATATGTTTGTGTGTTGTTTTGATATCCATGAAGCGTTGGTGCCATCGATGTAAAATGCAAAAAGCGACGGACCGAAAATGAATTAAAGCAAAAACCAAAGCATAAAATCGATAAATAAAAATGCAAATTATTTTGAGTCGTTTTATTTTTCGTTCATTTCAGAGAGAGAGAGAGAGAGAGAGAGAATTGCTCTCGATGTATATGTGAAATGTGTAAGTTTTTATCATATTGGTGCGCTATATGTTTGCAATATCACATTGAGCTAAGATCTGAGCGTTGGCCAAGCTATTTACACCGTATATACTGTCAATAATACAAACGATACGTACAAAATGCATGCCCTCAAATTCCTTTTTCGCACGTTGAAAGTCTGCATAGTCTGTAGACGGCATGTCAAATAGTTTTTCAGCATTTGCTAAAGGTGTGTAATCGGCGAGTTGTTAGGAGGAAAAATTTAAATATATATTAGTTTTTGGCTTTCTTCTTCTCACTAAAGATGAACGAATGAGTTAAACTACATTGTGTGCTCGTATATATATATATATATCAGTAATGTGCGAAGGGGGGTAGGGGGGTCGTTTACCCTCCCCTGTGATTTGGATGAGAAAAATTTTTTCGCGAAAATTATTCGAATTTGCTAGGGTTTTTGATTCTAAAAGTGAAGACCTTTTTTTTAGCTCATCAATGTAGAAAATTGAGGAGAATTCTTTCAATTTCCTAGGTTTTTTGGTTCCGAGTGAATTTTTTCCGATTTGCTAGGGTTTTTCGCGGAGAAAATTCTTTCAATTTGCTAGGGATTTTCGCCTCAAAAAGTGACTTCCAAGAAAAAAAAAATGAAAATTTGTCTGACTTGCTAGAGACATTTTTGGTTTCGAAAAACCACCCCCCCCCCTGAAAAATTTTCCTCGCACATTACTGATATATATATTATATATATATGTGTGTGTGTGTATTTGTCGATTCTGACCGACACACATTCGACATGGATAAATAAATGCGGACCCGAATGTAGGTGCGCTTTTGTCTCCTTTTGTCTTCACATTTCTACGTGCAATGTGAAAACCTAAAGTGCAGTGCGCTTCGACATTTTAAATTTTCTTCTGTTGGCGTTTTGCTTCTATTTTCGTTTTGTCACATCCATTCTGGATTCGTGACGGTGGTGAACTGATTGGCTAGCATTTGTGAATGCTGTGCTATGCTGTGCTGTGTATTTGTGTGCACGTGTGTATATATATGTTAAACGTGGATGTTGTTCGTTCGTTACCGAATTCGTGTCTCTGTTGTTCCAACAACTTAAACTGATCGCTATATCGTTCCATTAGTTTAATGCCATCATCCATATCGATACCGACCGCACCTGGCCCTTCGTTAAAAAAACGCTGCACAAATATCGATAGCTGAATGTGTTTATCCATGCACACAAACGCATATATACATACATTTGTATGGCGACCATTACAAATCCATCGTTACAAATCGGTACACAAAAAAAAGCGCAATGAACACATTCGATTGGCAAAAACGGGTAGAAAAAAGTGCCAAAGACGAAATGAAATGAAGAAAAAATAAGAAAAAGTTGAAGGAAGAGAGAAAACAAAGGTGAAATGTTACTATATGAAAAACTTTTGCCATTTTCTGTTATAAAATGTATTTGTTCAGATGTGGTTTAGCTCTAGACTGGGTTGAATTGTAAGTGAAAATGAGAATGAGAATAACTTTACAATTTCTCTTTAATTTCAAACCGTTGTGTGTGTGTGTATGCTTGCTCTATGTACAGGCCCAGTTCAACGTTATGCTCGTTTTAAGCTTACGACAAAGAAAAAACAACAACCCAACAAATGAGTGCACGTGAATTGATAACGTCAAGCATAAACGTACGAACTGAATAGCATAATGGCGCGCAACGCGTTAATTAATTCTTGGCGTGCAACAATCGATACAGTAATTATTTGCGGAAACACAAGAGTTTATGGCCATGTCATCAATGGGGCCACACACAGACCAGAGCATAAAAACAGTTTGAGTACACATCCGGGGATCATTCAAGTAAAAATAATTATGATGATGACGTGGGAAGGAGAGTGTTGAGAAGAGAAAAAAAAAACTTACGTTTGTTAAAAAAGTATTGATTTCAATTGTTGTCATATCGGCAAACTTCATTTTGATAGGTTTCAATGACTCAGCTTTAATTAACGATGAATTGTATAATTTTCGCCATCGTCGCTCCAAATAATATGACATGATCATGTCGCTAAATTTGAACTTAAAACCAAAAAATGTCACACTTTCCAATTTTATGAACGAGCTTTTCCTAATTAGCTAACTACTTCTAATTTTTTATTATCGTAGTCAATATGATTATAAATTCCATTCAGTCTCTCACGAGGATAATTTTCTGTTCTTTTTTTTCTTTCGCACTCTTCATTTCTTTTGCGTGTCCAACAAAAATAATGATTAGATTGCTTAATACATTTAACTCTATTAAAGAACGATAAATTGTTTTATTTTTCAAAGTGTAGCGATACTTTATATTTGCAAAAGTTTCACCATGAATTGGGCAAAGTGAAAAGCTAGTTGGAGCAGCGAAAGAAAACCAAAGAGCAGATAAAAAACGAGAAACTATGCTAGAGTGAATAATTTATAATACTAATTTTTATTTCTGCTAATAATTTATTACCTCTATTTTATGATCAGCCAGAATGGCAAAAGTTTCTTGCATTTCGTGCAATTGCAGCTCAGTTGAGATGTTGGTCGATTGAATGGTGGCAATGATTTGCATGGAAAGTTTAAATTCATCAAGTCCCTTAATATTGCGATTCAAATTATGTTTCAATTCCTTCAAAGATGAACAAAATAAAGAGAGAAAAAAAACACTTAATTTCAAAACTTTTTCGCAGTTAATTGTTCGCCATACAATGGCATTATCAATATTATCATACCGTCATTTGTTTGTGTAGCGCTTTCAGTGTTTTTCGTGTTCTTTCGATAAGAATTTCGCCAAGCGTATTTTTCCAATCAACAGCATATGCGCGAATGTTACCAATTAATGTATGCAGTTTAACTCTAATTGGACCGTTATCATGAAATGGTTGAATTGAGTCCATTCGCTCCACAATGTTTGTGTAAAACAGAAATTTTTCATCGATATGTACGAGTGGTGGGCCACGATCCACAAACTTTTCACAAACTATCATTTTATCGGATGTCCATAGCGCCTCGAATTCCTGCCAACTAAATATACGGAAATAAATACGAAACAAAAACCGTAACCTTGATAATGAGTATTTCGATATAAAATTTTAATATTTCAGAGATTTGGCATTTGAGAATGCAGATAGTCAATGCACCACATTTCTTCGGCTTTTGTTTGGTAAGCCAGATCCGTGACATGATTTCGAAGCCCGATCATAGTAAACTGTTAAAATTAAACAGTAGAAATAAACAGATTTAAATTTTTTACATTTTTGAAAATAAAAAATCTTTTGTTTTTTTAATTTTGTGAGATTTTCTGTCCACAATATTCAAAAATATTTAATTAATAAAAAATGAAGTGGTTGACATAACCTCACTTTCGTGTCATAATCGGTCACAATCATAATGTGAAAAATTTTAAAAGTGTAAAAAATTAAAAATTGAAAAATGTTTTATTTTAACAGTTTAACGCAGTTTAATTGATTCATTATGATTTTGCCAAACCGTGACGGCCATATTGTCACAAACTTCGATTAGTACTCGGAATACGCATTAGAGGTGTTGTTAGTTACGGGCATGATCAGGCTTCGCATGATTTAGTACAAGAGATGCACAGCATCCCATACCGAACATGTAAATTCACAAAAAATGTGATGTTTTCGACTAGGAATATTCGAGCAAAAGTACTACACGATCCTGCAACGGTCTACTGAAATGTATGTAAACCAATCGTAACTAGGTTTACATGTGTATTGTACGAAGCTACAAACCTGCATAAATATTTGTGTATTTCGTCAACAATTTGTTGAGCATTCTGTTCAATATTGGCCACCAAATCATTCACATCCCGCAGCTGTGTAAAGCGTATTAACAATCAACGATATGGAATATTTTTAAACAAATTTTATACCTTTATGATATCATCGTAGAATGTAATCATAATGCCATCCGTTTCATTGTACAATGAATTCGGTGGAGTTGAACATGTTCCAGGCGTCCAACGTGTGCACAACTTCAAGCTGTGAATAAAATACAAAATTCAGCTGTGTTTGCTAACGTAACCACAATTACCAATGAAAAACTGAATGAAAATTCAATATTTATTTTCGGCAACAGCAGCAAAACTGTTTATATTCATTCCAGATGATCGGTGGAACACATTTCAATCGTATCACACAAGGGGCATTCCATCACAGAAAATGCAATTTAATGAGAGAATGTTTCTCAGAGCAATACAATGTGAGGAGGTGCCGGAGAAAAAAAATGATATCTACTCGTAAAATCATAACACTATCAATTTGAATATTTTTTTTAACTTTTAATATTTTCCTCCTGAGGCTTTTCTTAGCGCTCCTCCTGAAACATTATTCAAAATTATAGACTAATTATAGATAGATTTCCCCTTTGTTTCACGTCATGAGAAAGCAATTTATCCGTGTATGCACTCAATGTTCGTTGGTGGTCGTTAAAATTCTTTTGTAAAATTACCTTTCAAGAAATCCTTTCACCACTTGCAATATGCTATTGTAAATTTCAATTCCGTTCGGCTGTAAAACGATGTATGGAGTCGATAGTGATGCGTCGATGCAAAATAGTGGACGATCCGATTGCAATGTTTCGATGAATTGATTCAAATTCCTCTTCGTCAATCTATCAATTTAAATTGGTTTCGCATCCATGCCCAGTTTCATACACATCACATGCAAAACACATAGAATGGCATTAAAGTTGGCAAACGCATCAATGTCAAAAACAGAATCATCGTCGATAGTAAGCAGATAAGAAAGAAAATGATTAAAAAGCGGGACAATTGACGGAATAAACATGACACAATTGAAAAATAATAACAAAAAAAATATATATATACCTGATTAAAAGTTCAAATAACTGATTCTCCCAGAAATCGTAGTATAAACGCATATTATCCAGTTCGCCGGTGCTCGTCCCCAATACCAAAGATTCTAGTTTAATTAAAATTGGCCCAACTGTGCTAAACAAATTTTCGACGTTCTTCATTTTTTGATGGTGGTTGTCATGAATAATTGAAAAATACGTTGCAATCGATGGTATATGGTTTGCATCACAAGCAAATGTAACACTTTTCACATCATGTTCATATTCCGTTGAGTCGGGACAGTGCGGTTTCTGCTTATGATCTACTATTGTCAATATATCCAAATCGATTGTATTCAATTTTCCATTTACAATGGAATGTCGTTCATTTGATATGTTATCACTTCCATGTAGTGTTATCATTGAAAGAGTTTCAATTTGATTCATTCGCGTTTTGATGTCAGACGATACATACTTTATTTGTCTTATGAATGTCTCCAAACGTGATATTAACTAATAAAATGACATAAACGTCACATAAATAAGATCGTTTTTTTGACATTTTTTGTCATTTTGATACAGTGCAATGGCACACATACACACAATCAACGAATCAAATTAAAAAAAATAGATACACACACAAAGAGAGAGAGTATTGGAATATCATAAGGTAATACCTTTTCACATGTTTGACAATAGTTCTGAATGTTATATGATTGCCATGTGTATCTCCCTAATCCGGCTTGAATTTTCAATTCCACAGCATATAAAATGTCACGTAAAAAATGAATCTATTCAGTGGCGAGTGGAAGAAAACGATAGAAAAATTGTCAATTTATTTAACAAAATACTGATGAAAAAAAGGTATAATATCAATTTTTAGCGATGATAGTTTTGCTGCGGTTCATTCACATCATACACAAAAAAAGCATCAATACATATTTTTTGTCGTTTTATTTTGTTTATAGGATATTGCATCGACTGCATCACCAAATGAAATGTCACTAAGAAAGTTCGCATATCTCGTTCGAATGAAACGAATACAGCATAGCAGCTTCAACGATGACAAATAACATTTGATGATGCATGGTTTTTATATATAGCGACAGAATAGTTTTCAATTTATAATGCTTACCTCGGGTTCTGATAAATTTTGAATGATGTTATTGTATTTCGAAAGCATTTGTGTAACCGATTGCACATCAACAAAAAGTTTTTCCTAAAACAAGTAAAAAAAATCGATGTGAATAGATTCCATTACTCTGATATCAAATATTGTCGTATCGTCGGCCACTTAGTAAAAAAGATGAATTGAAAATGTATCGCATAAACTTCGATTTAGTTTTTCAATCAAATTTAACACTTATAAAACCAACAAAATAACAGCTAAAATCACCTTTCTCATAACAGCCATACGCAAAACTGGATTCAATTTAAAATTGTTACACTCAAATTGTTGACTCTCCATTATAATGTCATAAATGTCTGCAACATTTTATAAGAAAAAAAATGAATTATTGAATAATGAATAATTTATACATATATTTATGGAGATAGAAAAAAAAGAACAAACCGTTTGAAAAATTTACATCAAACGCCAATTGGTATTCGATTAGAATGGAATGATCAACTAGCTTTTCCCACGTTAAATTCCCTTCATGCCGAGATGCTGCATGTAGCACTGTACAATCGAATCAATACAATTTGATTATTATTATTTTTCGCTATAAATGTGGTGATTTCGGTGCATTTAACGTATTAAATGTGTAAATAAAATTCATACGTTTCAATTGTTCATGATTTAATTCATTCTGCACACCGGATTTTGCATTCAACTCAGTACCATTTGAATAAGTGACGAGCCACTTTAGGGCAACGGCTGCCGTTAAAAATTTAATGCGTTTTCTGTGATGCATGGCATTCGGTTTACGATGGCGTTTTCGATGTTTGACCTAAAAACAAGTAATCAGTTTAAACGAGAGCAAAAACAGCAGAAAGAGGAGAGGAGAAGAGAAAGAGAAAAATTTCACTGAAAGCTTTTTTGTGCTTAACATCTTTGAAATGAAACAAAAAAAAAAGAATTTACCGCAATGTTGAATTTATTGATCCCATTTTGTTTGGCAAGCGGGTAACAAGTCACTGGAACAATAAATAATCAAAATATAATTTCTATCGCCAAAATGTTGAAAAATTTATTAGAAACTGTCTAGCTAAAGACTTTAGTGGGGCGAATGAAGCAAAATAAAGAGCCAAAAGTGGGTAAGAGAGAGAGAGAGAGAGAGAGAGAGAGAGAACGAGAGCTATAAAGGAAAAGAAAAGTCAAAACACGAAGATATCCGCCTAGGCTGTAGGCCTCTAGCGTATAGACAAACAAACAAAAAGCGTAAAGCAAACAAAGCAACAAACAGTCCCAAAATGGTGAAAATGGTTAAAAGCAGTTTTCTGTCACCACCATTTTGTCGTTGATAAGATACTTACTGTTCGGTTCTTTGATTATTTTCAGTTTTAAAATATTCCGTTTGAGAATATCATTAACCGTTCTCGTTCCTCTGGCCGAAAAGTTTTCATAATTGATTTGTTCGAAATTATTCATGTCCTCAATCAATGTTAAATACTTTTGCAATGCGGTCTGTTTCAAACCATTATCGCTTGAAGTTGGATTGTTTTCAATCTTTTTTCCCCATTCGTTATGCGGAGATTTGATCACCCCCATACAATAAACAAAGAGAAAGAGAGAATCACATTGAAAAATTAATAAAAAATAAAAGTGAGTATAAATAAAAAAAAAAAAAAAAAAAACAAAATAATGTATCGAACAGTCCATGATGAGCAACATGGCAGCAACACGGCATCATGAACAGTAGCACAGAAGACGGGCGATGGCAAAAAGGGTAGTAGCGGCAAAGGCAACATCAACAAAAAGATAAACAAAACGAAAACATAATGAGAGAAGAGAATGCCGCAACTTTTTGAGCACATTTTTGTGTGGCAGCGCTCTGTGAAGATACAGACACACACAAAAATACACCGAGTGTATTATGTGACTCGAAATCGAGTCGAGTGGAATAGAAAGTTATAATGTACCTTCTCGAAAGCGATTGCCGATCTACTTAAATATTCACAGAGAAGCCTTTTCCAAATTGTGGATCCGATGAATTTCGGTTGGTTTTTGATGGGCGTCGCATTCCTTTTGAAATTCTGTTAAATTCAAATATTATGCTAATTTTTTAGTAAATAGATTTCTATATCGTCACAGTGAATTTTCACTGTGAATAAACAATGTGGCGAATTGAATCCTTTTTTTCCCTACTCTTCTATGGTGTATTTTTTTTGCTTTCATACCCGAAATTCTCGTTCAATCGTCTCGATTTCACTTATGAATTTGTGAACGATGCTGTCATGTTTGGTTAGCATATGTTTGACGAGACACTTGCGTGTGTTGAGACGCTCAATGTTGTTGATTAGTTCAATGCCCATTTCGGTGGAGCGCAATGTTGGAATGCATTTGTCGATGAGATTCTTTGCATCTCGTTCGATGGTCTGTAAACGCTTGTCAAACAGCTTTAATGATGCCTCCCAATTTTCTAAGTTGCCCGGCCGAAATATGTCGTAGTCAATGTTGATGACATAATCGACTAGTTGGTAGATCTGTTGGCAATTTGAATGAATAATAAATGAAAGAACATTGAATAAAAGAAATTCATGTAGGAAAAATGTCATTAGAATTGATTTTTAAGCCATTTTTACGGCTGTGCTTATTTCAATTCTCATTTCGTAAAACTTTGCTGATCATTTTCTATGTTATATGATACATTGTCGCCTTTTGCTTGTTTGTCTTTGGCTCGTTTTTTTCGGTTTTCTTTTTCATTGTACCAGCAAATAAGCGAACAAAAATGTGCTTCTCATTCGGTCACATATTGTCATATCGAGCACTTACTTTATTCATCATGTTGTTCACATCGTCCGGATTGTAGACCAGTGACTGAAGTTTTTGCTTGAATATATTCTCGAATTCGATGAATACGAGCGAAATATTTGCAATATCATTGCTTATGCGGGCACAGTGGTCGACATCATCAAACAAAATATTTTTATTGAACTCCCAACGTGATCCGACCCCCGATCGTTCGATGTGCGCCCTAGTTTTTAAATAATTCTCCTTCCATGTCAACAATAAATCAGCACATTTTGTCGCTAAAGCATGAGCATCGGACGCTGAATATTTGAATATTGCATTCAATGTAACAATTCGCTTCACTTTTTCAGTGAATATAAATGATATTTTGTAGAGCAACATTTGCATTTTTTCATCTTGACAAAAGTATTTTGACATTGTCCAAATATGACGCAGGCTAAGCATTACATTTGGTATTAACGATTTTATGTAATCAAAATTTGATTCGCTCTGGATTTTCTATTCAATGTGTAGATGAAACGTTATTGTTGTGGTATACAAATTGCATATAAAAAAAAAAAACAAAAAGAATCAGAATGAACAAAAGAGAGAGAGACAAACATTTATATTAAGACATTTTTTTAAAAATATTCGATTTAAATACTTTTAGATAGTCGGTAGTGGTCGATATATAGTCGGCATTTTGTTTAATATGTTCATATTTTTCCTTAAGCAATTTGACAAGTGCGGAGAACTTGTCCACACTGTGCGAATCGTTCTGCTTCAAAGTGTCTGTCACGTACGATAGCCAATCCAAGTGGATTCATGCAAAATGGAATATATGCAAATTGAGTTCAAAATGAAAGACAAGTTGGAAGTGAGCGAATTGATGGACAAACATGCAGTCGTTATTGCACTGCACATAAACAACAAAAAATCAATTTACTCACCCAAACAACAAATCACAAACGGATTTTTTATTTGTTCAAGCATATTTTTGTATTCGGCCTCTTCTTCTCGCCATAAATGATATTCACTTATTGGGCTGTCGTCGTCGGGTATCTAATAATAATAATAATAATCTTTATTCACCGCCAAAACTGGCTGAATCATTTGAGTTTTTACAATTTTTTATACATTTGTTGGTGGGAAAAAGGTATGAATCAGTGATATACTATGGTAAACATCTGATCACCGTTAAAAACCACATCTTTTCAATAATAATCTTACGACCACATACGATATTCTAACGGTCACCACACGGTCCACCAGCCCGGGTCAGTAGATCGAATGAACACTCAGCCACCATCCCAGGCTGCACGGTAAAGGTAAATAGACCGAATGGGGCCGCCGATTTCGCAGTGGTCACTACGCCCCCCATGGCCAAAGTTAAAATTACATCATTATAACATATAAATGAATAAATGAATAAATAAACAATTAGCTACGTCTTACTGTAATAGCCAAAAGTTATCCCGTCAAACAGCAAAAAACACTTATAAATAGTTAATATTTTCAAATTGCACGCGGATACGATGAGTCGAAAACTAATAAATAAATATAATTTCAAATACTATATCTATATAAAAAATAAATCACAATGTATCACATTTGCTCGTTTAAGAAAACAGTGTTATAATTGGACACCAATGACAAGTTAGAAAAGTGATCATCGCTTAAGGATAAAAGTCGATTTTTGAAAGTTGATCTCTTTGATTGCATCGAAAATAGTTCGTGGACCCTATTTGACATTCTGCACATTTGGTTGAGTGGAACGGATGGATTGATTCGGAAGAATTTGTCATTGATTTTGAAGTACTCGACACTTCTCAAGTTACGTCCATTTTGATTGCGGGCCATTTCAGTCTTCAGTGATGGGCAGTGAACGTTGTTTTGCATCAAGTCGAATATGAATAAAATTGATGCATTTATACGGCGCCTTTCGAGTGATTGCATGTTTAGTTTGCCCAGGCGAGCGCTGTACGATGAAATTTTGTAGTCATTCGAGATGTTTGGATACTCCTTGAGTGCAAACATTGAGAATTGACGAAGGCAAGATTCAATTTTGTTCTTGTGAATGCTATGGTACGGTAGCCATACTAAACTGCCATACTCCAAGATTGATTGTACGAGGGCGCAGTATAACGACTTGAGAGTATTGACATCAGGAATATCGTAGCAGAATCTCTTCACGAATCCGAGCGCTGATGTTGCTTTTGCCACGATTGAATCGATGTGTTTGACGAAGTTGAGTTTGCTGTCGAAAATTACTCCCAAGTCTCTTTGTTCGCTTACTCTCTTAAAATTGTGACTGCCATATGAGTAGGAGCACATGATTTTCTCTCTCCTTTTTGATATCGACATAACAGAGCATTTGTCGAGATTTAGGTAAAGTTTGTTTGCTTCGCACCAGTTCTTTAATTTATCAATTGCCACTTGAAGTTTGATAGTGTCATTGGTGTCAGTGATTGAAGTTGCCAATTTCAGATCGTCAGCAAACAGAGAGATAAAAATGTCGTCGTCATCTATGGAATTTACAATATCGTTGATGAAAAGTAGAAATAGAGTGGGGCCCAAGTGACTACCTTGAGGCACCCCTGAGTTAACAACAAACTCACTTGATTCCATTTGCCCATATTTCACAAATTGACGACGATTTAACAAATACGATTTGATCCAATCGATTAAGTTTGGTGGCAGATTGAAATTGTGAAGTTTTGAAATCAGAATCGAATGATCAACAATGTCAAATGCCTTACTAAAGTCTGTGTAAAGTACATCTACCTGCTTATCTTCGTTCACTGCCTTGAGTGAAAAGTGCAGGAATTCTAAAAGATTCATCGAAGTTGAGCGGCCTTTCATAAAACCATATTGTTGAGGCACGATTTTATCGGCTACCATCTTGCTGATCTCCAAATTAATCAAGTATTCGAAAAATTTAGCGATTGTTGGCAATTTGGCAATGCACCGATAATTTTCAACGTTAGAGCGTGATCCCTTTTTAAAAATTGGTCCAACGCTGTAACGTTTCCAACTCGTGGGAAAGTGTCCAGTGGAAAGCGATTCATTGAATATTATCGCTAGAGGCGCATACAGTAGGGCGGCACAATTTTTGAGAAGGATAGGATGTATCCCATCCGGTCCAACGCCTTTCTTTGAGTTTATTTTAAGCAACTCGTCGAAAACAAAAAATTCGTTAAGAATCAATTCGTTAACGTTTGAGTTTGTTTGAGTTGATGCTTGTGCTACCGATTGACTTTGACACGGCTGGTTAACAAAGTTGTTTTTAAAAAAAGAAGCAAACATTTCGGCTTGTTCCCTTTCATCAACCGAAGATTTATCACCAAAATGTAATAATTTTGGGTCACAATCATTGTTTTTCTTCGTATTGACAAAGCGCCAGAACGATGTAGAGTCAGACTTCAGTGAAGAAGTCATTTTGTCGACATACGAGTTATACAGTTCCGTGTTAAGTTTGGTGTAATTATCAAGCGCAAACAA